TGTTGACCCATAAACAACCAATTCATCCCGCAAGCTCGCAGACTATTAGCAGGTGGATAAAGAAGGTATTGAGTAAAAGTGGACTCAATACCGACGTATTCAAAAGCCATAGTGTCCGCCACGCTACTACGTCAGCTGCTTTCTGGGCAGGGGTAAACATCAACAGTATAAAACGACAGCAGGGTGGTCTGAATCATCAAATGTATTTTTTCAATTCTATAATAGGCCAGTTGGAACTGACGATGCAATTTTTGCAAATACAATATCAGGTCTCAACTTGGAAGATTAATTTGAGTTATTATTATTTTGAAAACTATTGTTATCGAAATGCGTATTATTATACGTAATGTAATTGGTATAATTTGTATAGCCACTTCTCTATAGTCAACGCAAAGTAAAATTATTAGATTTTTTTACCGAAACCGGAAAAGCTCAAGCTGATGACGGTGGTTCCACTACTCCTACTTCCAACATATTATACAATTCGTCATACATAATTTTTTGCATAAAGAGTGAGATTGCATAGAATCTTTGCCTAATAGGAGCATGATCCCCGGTATAAATATTGTGTTCGACTCCACTAGCACATCCTAAGTCATTTCACATCATTTTGAAATTCCTAAAAACCAAACTGTCCAAAGATTCCTTCTGTTCGGAACTCAGAAGCTAAAAACAATTACCATGTCTACTCCAGATATAACCACACAATTGAATCTGGTCGAACTGGTCGTATGATATTTGTAAAAAAAAATGGTCCCCACTGATTGAAATCGGAATCAGAAAAAATGAACGCTTTTATCAGTATCACTATATTAAAGAGGGACAAAAATAGACAGAGACTTCGTTCTCAACCATCGTAGAGAGCGGACGTATGTTGGGAACAGCAAGGATTGTATAGTTTTCTGTGCGAAGTGCGAAACAATTTATCTTATCGTGAAAACAAACTTGATAAAATTTTGTAGCTGAAGTTTTTTCCATTTTCTCAAACGACACGCCGTCTAGACGCTGCATTAGAGGAGAAGCGATAGGTGAATGGGTTTGGAAGCTACGCACAGTCGTTGAGCAGCTGCCTGATGGGAAAGCGCCAGGTATAGATGGGGTCTCCAACGAAGTCATTCGTAAGGTGGCCGACTGAAAGGAAGACTGCCTGTTGAAAATATTCAACGCCTGTCTGGATAGAGGTCACTTCCCTGGAGTATGGAAAAATGCAAAAGTTGTATGGATACCTAAGAAGGACGGAAATCCCAGACCTATCAGCTTGCTGACTGGAATGGGACGGACGTTAGACAGGCTTCTAAATGGTAGAGTGCAAATCGGATGCGAAACAGAGTTAAAATTCTCCCCGAATCGGTATGGGTTCAGGGCTGGAATGGATACTGGTATGGCCCTAGAAAAATGGTGAATAGGGTGAGAGAAAATAAGAAAGGAAGGAGACGTAGTTTGGTTTTGGCGTTGGACCTGTCAAACGCCTTTAATACCGCGTGGGCACCAGCGATCGAGAGGTGTGTGAGGCGAATGGGGATGCCGAGAAATGTGGGGATGACGTGAATGAATTTCGTAGGTAGGAAAACTACCAATCCGCTACCTGCGGATTGGTCTCTAAAAGGGTGGACAGAGGCTGTCCTCAGGAATCCTCAGATCAGGAATCTGGGACCTCTATAGCTGATAGAGATGGAAGCATGGTTCGTACGAATCAGGGACATGAAAGTGAGAGAAGGCATGGGAGCACAGGCCTACGCACAGGCCTACGCGACCTGAGTATACTTCTCTTTTTGCTCTCCCTTCGATAGCCGAACGCCTCCTTCCTGCACTGGAACATGCCTTGTGGCATTCATATCGTTGAACGATTGGATGTTCTTTGTCCAGGATTTGAGGACCCATCACAAACGGTGTATGAGATGGAGGGAGAACTGGGCCCCTGCCCCGATGCGGTTTTTGAAAGTTCAAAACTTATAGGGTCACAGAGCTCCATAGGGACGATCGACAGCAATTATAACGTTTCGAGACCCGTTCTTCTTTGCTTCTGTGCAACCAAAACGATCATTTTTTGGATCGGATCGTCACGTGCGATGAAAAGTGGATCCTTTACATTGTAGAGTCTATAACAAGAGGAGACGTTCAGGACAGTAATTGGATAGCGATGAGCCACCTGAGCTCTTACCATATGCGAAAACCCACAAAAAAGACCATGGTTACTGTATGTTGGTCAGCGGCTGGTGTGATTCACTATAAATTTCAGCCAAACTATCACAGAAGAGTTATATTGTGAGAAAATCGACGACTCTGGGTATATTATTGATTGACTATAAAAACATAGCTAGTGATGAAGAAGCACCCCCTCCCCTATAATTGAGTTCTATAAATGTTCGGAGGATCACCATTTCACATTCAGTTTGAATTACTCAACGTATTCGAATAGATGAGTAATGTTACAAACTGACAGATAGTAACTACGTCAGGAGTATAGCCAGCAACCCAGGTGAATATATTTAATATTTCCATACCATAATTCCACTATATTCGTAAGGGATCATTTGAGATTTAATATCGAATTCTACAAGAATTCAACAAACTGACGCTATGTAGCAGATACTTACAATATCTTCGACTATCATTAAAGGTTATGAAATTGGAAAGATGTCGATGCTATTCACAATAAGGTGAATCCATTCGAGTAGTTTTGTTGGATGAGGAAAATAATACTTTTTTCAAATCATAGCTTCCAAAACGTATCATAAAACATTACACAGAAGAAATGCTTCACGAAGTAAATTCTTTCAAAGCCAAATTCATTTTTACTTATCTGATCAAATTCGATATTTTAGATCGAATATAATTTCTTTATTAATTGTAGTGAGATACATCGAATCCAAAAAGTTCAAAATTGTTGTTTTCGAATGATGTATCACATTAGGAGGAGAGAAAGAATTTCCCATAAGCTGAAGGACGCGAGATTGTTGCATGTTCTATAATTGCAATATGATCATAGTATCCACCAAATACCTACATCACACTGCCGTTGTTGTTATCACTGGCTATTGAAGCACAATACTGAACACCAAATGTTCAGCAATGGTGTTATCATGTTTGAGATTGATGTAATATTTTGATCGCATTTCAAAGTGTTGTTGTTTGAATGGAGGAAAAATACTCCATCGGTATTCTTCTCAAATACATTTTCGGGTTGCATTTCTGGGTTGCATGTATGGGTATCGCAAAAGCTATAGTTGAAAGTATACCCCAACTCAAAATCGAAGAATCTGAGGTGGGGCACAGGAAAATAATGCCGAAGAGGCTTCTCTTATGAAAACGCCGCCCACCTCTAAAACAACTTCAAACTCAGAAGCATCCAAGAAAGGAGGTGGAGAAAATGAGGTGATACTATCAGGAAATTTTATCGTATGATACAATCTTTGGAATTCGTATTAACCCTAAAACAGAAAAACTACAAATGGGTATGGTTAATGTAGAGTGTATCGATGAGAAAATCGTAATCGATACTCAGAATTATTCGACCTTGAAATAATGTTGATAGGGAGAAAAAAAAAGGAAAGGAAAAAAGTGTTACTTTCTCTTGGAATGAGACTTGAGTTTTTGGTTATCTTCTCTGGAGCAAGTATTTTGAACTCATCGCATTGTCGATTTGAAGAAACCAAAATATTTAATACGGGAATAATTATATTTGAGTTATCTAAAAGAATAACTCACCCACAGCATTGGGGATTTTTATATTTTCATTAAGTACCCGTTCTCTTGTCACTATCCAATCTTCAGGCCACACAATAACTACGGTTAGAACCCACTGAACACTGAAGGATATATCCTTATAAACCTTAATCTCATTTTAGGCCTTCTTATTACCACCTCAAGTCAATATTGTGAACTATGTGTATCTCTCGCAGGGCTAGACCACTACACCCCTTATATCTCTGATTACGGTCTTCCGAGGAGCAAGTTACCTGCATGGGAAAGATCATTGCCTGAGTGGACTGCGTACAGGGGTCGGATCGTGCTGCTGGAGACTATTTTCCCATATCCCTCGCATGTAAAGTCTTTCCTGTTATGTATTACACCCTCCCGCACTACTTTGAATCAACATTGCGAATTCTAGAATAAACCAAGTATTTACCACACCCTAAGTTTGATCACAAGTTGCTTACATTTATATCTGTGAACCCAAAAGTATACTTCTGGGCCATAAGCCTGTAATCACCATCAGCTTGGCGTGTTTAAAGAAACAATACACTTATCCTCATAGTGGACTTATTTACCCACCATCCCTCTCCGCTGAGTTCCGGCAGCCCATAATTGAGTTCCTAAGTAACAAAGTAACCCATTTCAATCAACGACTACGGATGTTACAACGGTTCGATCGTTAATACTCACAATCGTCTTTTACCTCACTTCTAATACTTTGAGATTCAGAAATGTTCACTTTCCAAACAGTGGAATATAAACCTCTAACATTCAACTACTACTTAAAAATGTCTCTGTACCAAGAATGATCCACTTTATGTTGATATTTGAGAGCACAAAAGCTTTCCATGTAGAAGAAATATAAAATAAAATGCCAGAAAAATGTTACTGTCAAATCCCATATAATCTCATCACATTCATAAATTTATATCAATTTACATACGAATATATACATTTCCTACAATAACGAAAGATCATCTGTAGAATAACTTTTTTTGAGTCCTGACCTATCTACAGTGCACCAGTCATTAACATTATTATTAAATATCAATTCAGAGTCAGAGAAATATCTCACCAAATTTTCTTCAGAACAACTCTTCATTTGTATAGTATATTTAAGAATGGTGACGGATTTACAATTTCTAAAACTTTTTCTGATATCTTGGAGAAATTGCGGATTACATACGGAAAAACATCCTGAAGGATTTCTGGCTCGTTCCTCTACGATGGCTCTGAATGATGTATCTGGGAGTTTTGGAAAATATCCATTCGATATTGATGAAGTTCCTATAAATAATTGTTAAAAGAGTTATACATTTAGTAGCCATTGAAGAGAAATTAAAGTTGAAACTGACTATATTATTATCAGGTTATTTCAGAAGTTTTGTCTGATCTAATGTCATGTGTTTTGTAGTTCTTATTTCTTAAGGTATCGAAGCTATATAGAAAAAATTTAAAAACTCCAAATTTTATCTGGAGATGAAGAAATACATTCGTATTTCTCCATCACAATAACTTGCATTCAGTTGTCAATTATCTTTGGACTCTGTTCTTCTTAGGGAGCTCCGTTCATCTGTGATTATCGTGGATTAAGTATTCTGTTACTTCCATATTTAGGGCGTTCCAACGAAAACTTGACCCCTCTGTAAGTTAAAAACGGACGTCTAATCTAAAATTTCAAAGAACATGTCAATTTTTATTACTAGGGGGACTAATTCAGATTTGGAAATCATGCCCGAAACTTCAACCCCCTGCGGTCAGCAACCCCCCTATTTTTTTGAACGTTTGAACGTTTTATTTGAGAAAAAACAGAAAATTCGCTGTCGTTCATTTTAATGAGATAATCAACAACAAATAATATCAGTGGAAACGAAATCAACGGATAAATTGTTCAAAATGACTTCCACCTAGTTTCATACAATAATACAGTGTTCTATATCGAAAGCGTTCCGTACATTATTCAAGGTGTCCGGAGTCAGCAATCAGCATTCCCGAACAATTCTCTGTCGCAGGTCTTTTAGATGCGTAGGCTCAGTAGAGTACACTTTCGACTTCAGAAAGAAACATATCGGTGTGAGATCAGATGATCTAGCTGGCCACTCCACTGGACCCCGCCGCGATCCAACGATCGCCGATCAGTTTCTAAAATTTGTGTAATCGTAGGATCTACACAGTCTTGTAATAGATTTAAGTATGTGTCTCCATTGAGATTACCTCCAATTAAGAATGGTCCAACAATATGATTACCAAGAATGCCGGCCCAGACATTCAATTTTTGTGGAATTTGCGAATGTGTTTCCATCACCAAATGAGGATTCACATCGCTCCAGTAATGACAATTATGTCTATTCACTTCACCATTCAACATGAAAGAACTTTCGCCTGAAAAACATGTATTGTATAATAGGTTTGGGTTATTGGTCAGTTTCTCGCTGAACATCTAACAAAACTGGAGTCGACGATTAGGATCATCTTCATTCAATTCCTGAACTAGCCTTATTTTGAAAGGATATAATTTGTAGGCTTTCAAAATCATAAAAACACCAGTAGCTGATACACCAAACGCTCTAGCTACTTGTCTGATAGATTGTCGATTATCCATTTGTACATGTCCTAAAACTGCAACTTCAACTCCGTCATTTATGACAGGAGGGGATACTTCATGTTTTCTGTTGTGAACAGAACTTATCCATTAACTGTTTAACGTATTGATGGCTCACGATGTGGTCTGGATGATTCGTATTATAAATTCTTGCAGAAGCTTTAGCACATTCATTATTTCGATAATAGATTGCAACAATTTTTATTCTTTCTTCAGTAGAATAAACCATGTTGAAACACAGTGAACAAGGATGACTGAATAATAATTCGTGAAGAAGTAACAGTGTTCTGCGACAACTAGATTCAACAAAAACTAACAGTGTCGTCAATTTCAAAACGTTTACTACTAAGTTAATAAATTCTACAAATCTAGAAGACCTGCGACAGAAAATTATTCGGGGATGCCGATTTCTGACTCCGGACATCTTCAATGATATAACGAACTAGATGGGGGTCATTTTGAACACTTCATCCGTTTATCGCGTTGCTATTGTTATTACTTCTGTTAATTTGCTCAATAAAATCAGGGACATCCTCTGTTTTTTCTTAAATAAAACGTTGAACATTTAATTTCTCAATAGCGAATGAACCAATTTCGAAATAAATCACAGAAGTTATAGAGAGACAAAAGACCTTTCATTGAAAAGATAGGGGGGGTAGTTGCTAACCGCAGGTGGTGAAATTTCGGGTATGATTTCCATATCAGAATTCTTCCCCCTAGAAATGAAAATTGACGTGTTCTTTGAAGTTTTCCATTAAACGTATGTGTCTGACTTACAGGTAGTGTCAAGATTTCGTTGGAATGCCCTATATGTCATAGTCTTCACTCACTCAGGCTTGTAATTTAGGGACAAACGAGTCAAACAATGCATTCATGACTGAACCTAGTACCATTGATCTATGATTGGCCAAAACAACGCTCTCTGATTGAATCACGAATGCTCTATATTTAGGCACTGCTTTCATTTACTTCAAAGGTAATTTTGAGAACTTTGCGGAACTGTCATACGCAGATGTACCGTTTTGATTTTCATTCGTTTTGGCTTTGGTGGCAATGACTTCAAAAAATTTAGGGCTCCTAATTTGTTTCGTACCTACTTTTGATTCAGTTGTTGTGGGTTATTTCAGATATATACAGAAATTATAATCCAAGATTTTGAGTTGATTGTTGTTGTTGAATTGACTTAAAAAATCTAATTCTGCTATAATGCAAATAAATAATATACAAATAAATACAAATAAACACCAACACAGAACATCGCGAAAGCAGAGCTTGTATGCGATATGGTTTTGAATTCTTTGATATATTGCCTATTTGAATCAACCTTAGGCAAAATACTCTGTAGTTGTATATATTGATCGATAGAGGATTTTGTACTCTATACATTTGAACTGTTAATTTTTTTTCAAACTTAATTTTTTGACTGTTTTCAGCTCAATATGTCGTTGAGCGATTTCCGGCCGAGTTTTCTCTACGAATTCAAATTGAACCAAAGCGCTACCGAAACAGCTCGAAAAATGAATTAGGCATTTGATACTATTTACATTCATAAGTGATATTCCGTTTCGGATATGAGACACAAAGTGATCCACCCACAGTAATCCAGGACGAGGATTTGAACACCCTGGTGGAGACTGACCCATCACAAACGGTTGTGGGATGACTGAAAAACTGCCCAGACCTCTCGCCAACTGACTACCATCTTTTCAAGAACTTCGATAACTTTCTCGCTGGTAGAACTTTTGCCAATTCCTGATTCCAGGCAAAAACGGCCTTTGTCGACTTCATCGGATCCCGAGCAGACAATTCTCATGCTGACGAAAATTATCGACTTGTGTCGCATTGGCAAACGTGCAATGATTCAAATGACGCTCATTTAGATTGAATTGAATGAGTATTCACTGAGAATAGTCATTTGAACTAGACTCATAAAAACGGAAAAAACTTCCAAAACAACCTAATATTTTACCTGGTCCAAGATTTTCTACTAATTGCACTGAGTTCGAGACATCGAATAACTGGTTTTGTTCCGAACTTGTTTGTTTTACACAAGTATATGCTGGTGGCGGTGAATGTGGAATTATTGATGAAGTAGGTTGATGATTTCTATTATTGAAATGAGTTGGCTGAAAACTTCCATCGGGTGTTTGGCCGGTCGACAAGTCTGGTGAGATTGAGACTGTATTCGTTTTGGCCAAATTATTTGCCAGACACCTATAAATTAAAAAAGTACGAATAGTTATTCACTTCAACTGCTCTTCATGCTTTTCATTTCTTCTTTCTTTATATATGGGTTTCTATATTTTGTTATTTTGATTTACTTTCCAGACTTTCCACTCTTCATGCAGGAAAATAAGCATTTATATTTTCCTCATCGCCACTGAATACCGCTGATAAGGAATATTCATTCCGTTTTCGTACCTATCGGTAACCACTATTAAGAGCAGATACCATGCCAAAACGACAACTCAAAGATAAACACGGGAAGAGGCGTTTCAAGAAGTTGCAACAAGTATTAGACAAACTCCGGGAAAAGATATTAGAAGCAGAATCGACTTCTGATAGTTCGAAAACCTCACAACATTCGAGTACGTTAGAACTTGATATGGTTATATTATGTTTTAGCCCACAATAAAGTCGCATGGTGCTTACCTCAATTTTTAACTCTGATGGTATCGAGCGATCACCTGAAGAGAATGAGATGACAAGCGTTATCACCAAGTATTTCGTCACTTTTTATCAAAATCTTGCTCTGATGGTATCGAGCGATCACCAGAGGACTAGGGGTAACAGGCGTTACCACCAATTCAAGATGAAACTAACTCAGCTAGAATTTATAGATTCTCCTGATGCGGATTCAGATGAGGAGGTAAAGTTCATTGACTGCCAGAACAGAAAAACGGAGGCCCAACTTGACCCCCTTGCAATACAAACCACGCCTTCCGTTGCTCAAGACTCACCTGCCGAAGCGGTTCAAGTCAATTATTCTGATAATCATGACATCAAATACCCAATTCCCAAAAAATGTAAGGCTCTCCACCATCCAGAGGTGAATGGCAAAATTAAAGCGTGCCTCACAGACGTGGCTGTCACTCATAATAGGGTTATGACAAGCATACAACAACAAATAGGACATGCCTTATCTGCCATTGGCTCTATGATGAATCAGATGTTGACTACCCCTGAAGACTCATCTGAATCATTAACCAAGTTAGCAGATGCGTCTCAGATTCTAGCAAACGCGCAAACACCCTATCCATGCATAGGCGTTATCACATCTTACCTTTCGTCAATGCAAGAAGGTTTTTGAGTCATCCAAGATAGATCAATATTTATTTGAAAAACATTTCAACGAATCCTTCAAAACTAAACAGGCAATGAAAAAAGCCAGTGTCGAGTTTCAACGTAAAAATGCTGTACCCTTTACTAGCTCGAAGCCGGGTACATCAACATCGACCACCACTCATTCCCGCAAACCATCAGCGGTTTCTTTAAACTACAAGCGCGTAAACTACAAAACGAAGAGAAAGGAAATGGGGAGAAGTAACCTACAGCGGGAGTTATCATGCGAGGAAACCGTATCGCCAATACCACAGTCGTCGATAAACCAGGTAACTTCGAAATATGCAGGTTCCCTCTATAAGTTTCATAACACTTGGTTAAAGTTTACCAGTGACAAGAGAGTATTGAATTGGGTTCAGGGGACAAAAATTCATTTCCATACAATTCACCACATCCAATATACTGAACCTATCGTTCATATTCCCAAGTCTCAGTTCGACTTATATATGAACACAATTTCCAAGCTACTCGACATGGGGGCTATATTTAAATGTTCACCTGAGCTCAATCAGTATTTATCGTCATATTTTGTAACAAAAAAGCCGAATGGTGATTACAGATTCATTATGAACCTGAAACATCTAAATACGTTCATAGATGCTCCACATTTCAAGTTGGAAGATTTCAGAACAGTTGCCAAACTATTACATGAAAACTGTTTCATTGCCAATATCGATTTGAAGAATGCATATTTTTTGTTGCCCATCTCTGGACAACATAGACAATACCTGAGGTTCAAATTTAACAACAATTTAAACGAATTCAATTGTTTACCATTCGGACTTACTGTAGCACCCTATATATTTACAAAACTTTTGAAACCTTTAGTGACATACCTTCGAACGAAAGGGGTTGTTTTAGTTGCTTATCTAGATGACATTCTCTTGATAGGCACTGACACAATAAAATGCAAAAAATATATCTCAATAACTCTGGAAGTTTTGAAACAGTGTGGATTTGTTATTAATACAGCAAAAAGTACCTTGGTGCCTACACAAGAGTTAAAATTCTTAGGTTTTCTGTATGATACGCAAAAAATGTTGATATCATTGCCAAATGAAAAAATCCTTACGATTCGAATATTGTTAACGAAATGAATCACTAAACAGAACTGTCGCATACGAGATTTTGCAACGATTATAGGCAAATTAGTTACAGCTTGCCCAGCAATAAAATATGGTTGGTTGCATGTCAAACCACTGGAAATAACAAAATTCATAGCTCTAAAACACAATAATCAAAATTATGGCAAATGGATGAAACTACCAACTTCTGTTATTTCTGAATTACATTGGTGGGATATACATTTAGAATATAATAACGCTATAAAATCTAACGAAATAACGTTAGAAATGTATTCAGACGCATCAGACGCAGTGTGCCAGGGTCAAAGATGCCATGGGTTCGGGAATACCGATGAAACACAAAAACTATCTCGAAATCAAAGCTGCGTTCTATGGTCTTGAGTCATTTGCCAAAAATGCAAGTAACATTCACATCTTACTCAGGATTGATAATGTTACGGCAACACAATATACAAATCTCAACGAAATTACGAGATCGTTATGGGATTGGTGTGAAACGAATAATATGGTATTTGCGTCATATATACCTTCGACTCAGAACATAGAGGCTGATAGGGAATCGAGATGTTTATCTATAGAAACCGAATACGAATTGAATCAAACCGTCTTTGATCGTATCGTGCATTGTTATGGCCAACCAGATATCGATATTTTCGCCACTAAACTCAATACAAATTGCAACAAATACGTTTCTTGGTTTCCAGACTCAGACTCCTATTCAGTAGATGCTTTTACAATTAGTTGGAATTAAATTTTCTTTCACGCATTTCCGCCCTTTTCTATAATCACCAGAGTTCTGGAAAAAATTGTCCAAAACAGGGCTTGTGGAATTTTAATATTTCCAAACTGGCCATCACAACCGTGGTACCCCATTTTTCACGACTTATTGATAGAAAAACCAATCATATTCAAACCGAATAAATATTTATTATTGTCTCCTTTCAGGGAGAGCCATCCTCTGAACCGGCAAATTTTCCTGGTGGCAGGGAAGTTATCTGGCAAGCATTTGCTAACAGGAACATTCCACAGACCGCATTCCCAATTATAATGGAATCCATTATACCCTCAAACAGTACTCAGCGACATATAAAAAATATTGGCAATTTTGCAACGACATAAAAATGAAACCCCTCAAATATAATTTGAAAACATATACTGAATTCTTGGTGAAAGCTATAGAGACTGGCAACTCGTACTCGGTTATTAACTGTCACAGATCAGCACTTAACTTCATTTTCACTCAAAATAACGATGATGAAAGAATAATCAAACGATTGTTAAAGGGGGCATGTAACATCAAACCGACACCTCCGATATATACATGCACTTGGACTCCAGAACCGGTATTACGATACCTTAGTAATCTGTACCCATTAAATTTGCTCAAATTAGAACAACTAACGTGGAAATTAGTCTGGTTGATAGCGCTTACAACTGCTCATAGGGTACAAACTATCTCGAAAATACGATTGAGTGGCATGATTAGACATGAAGGCAAACTCGAATTCAGAGAATCTGAAAGAATTAAAACCTCGGGCCCTAAAAGACCACAACCTTCGTTAATATTTCCTTATTTCACTTCGAAACCAGATTTGTGTGTTGCCACAACTATAGATCATTACTTGAATATAACATCTGTTAATCGTAATGATTGCGACTATTTAATGTTGACCCATAAACAACCAATTCATCCCGCAAGCTCGCAGACTATTAGCAGGTGGATAAAGAAGGTATTGAGTGAAAGTGGACTCAATACCGACGTATTCAAAAGCCATAGTGTCCGCCACGCTACTACGTCAGCTGCTTTCAGGGCAGGGGTAAACATCAACAGTATAAAACGACAGCAGGGTGGTCTGAATCATCAAATTGAAGAAATATCAGTATGTAAGATATCTTGTAATGCCCTGTTTGGAATCTTTGATGTAGTAATGAATATTTCTGGAGTTTTATCCCAACACCAAACGATTATTTTCAACACCTCGACACGTGTTTCTATCAACAAGTGATCATCTTCAAGAGGAAAATTAAACTCCTGTTTAATAGGCACGGAAGATTACACTCCTGTTCAATCTCCCTCTTGAAGATGATCACTTGGTGATTGAAACACGTGCCGAGGTGTTGAACATAATGGTTTGGTGGTGAGTTTTCATCAAATAAAACCATACAAAATGTTTTAAAATTTTGCGGCTGAGGTTTTCAGTGTCACTGTTTTTCGAGTTTGAAAGCCGTGGATTTTTGGAATTTCTTTCTGACGTTTCGCTGGCGCGAGTGGCTAGCTTCTTCAGAGATTTAACCATTATGGCTTGCTGTCCGATGACTAACTTTAAGGCTTCGTAAAGCGTATTTATGCCTTGTCAGGTAATCAGTTGTATTGGTACCTGTATTGGTACCTGTACTTGTACCTGTACTTGAACCTGGAACATTAACAATCTTGCTGCCTGTTGTCATTCTGTTCGTTATTCTCGAATTCCTTAAAATGGGGTTCCATATTCGATTGAGGTTCACCGCTTCTTCTTTTCTGTTGAAATACTCCGTGTGTTTGTGGATCTCTATTGCCTCCCATACCAGTCGGCTATAGTATCCCTGGTTGGGGGCAATTAGTTCTGTGTTTTCAAACAACATATAATATTGTTTGAAAACACAGAACTAATTACCTCCAACCGGGAAGATTGGATCTCAATAGAGATCCACAAACACACAACACATAATTTTGTTTGAAAACACAGAAATAATTACCCCCAACCAGCGATACTATAGCTGACTGGTACGGGAGACAATAAAAATGTTCCAGGTTTAAGTACAGGTACAAGTACAGGTACAAATAAGGTACCAATACAACTGATTACCTGACAAGGCATAAATACGCTTTACGAAGCCTAAAAGTTAGTCATCGGACAGCAAGCCATGATGGTTAAACCTCTGAAAAAGTTAGCCACTCGCGCCAGCGAAACATCAGGAAGAAATCCAAAAAATCCACGGCTTTCAAACTCTAAAAACAGTGACACTGTTAACTATTAAAACTATTATCTATTAAAAGCAGTTCCGTAGGTTCGAGATTTAAATTCATCATTAAAGATTGGCTTTCAAGTAAAATAGAGACAAGCTGTTTTACCTTTTATGACTAAGTTCCAAATTTTTATGGCATTTCAGTTGATTCAACTTCAATAATTCATTGTAATCAGGAGGAGGTTCATAATCCGGTGGTTCATCAGGTACGATGATCTCTTCTTCTATATCTCTGACACCTTCTTCTGAAAAAGTATACTTGCAGAACCAACACGATTTGAAACCAGAAATAGGGCCTGAGAAGTGATTTTTAAACTTTGTGGAACAATATCAAGCGAAAGATGTAGAAAACAATGTGTGATCTCAAACATGTGGCATAAGTATCAGTCTCAGCTTATTCGCTTCATTTTTGTTTAATTTAAATAAAATGAATACCTTCTCAATATAACTTACCTAGAATAGCATGAATAGTTTCGATGTGATCTTGGATTTGTCTCTGATTTTGAGCTTTAACGTTCACTCTGTACAATAATAAGGCCATCGCCAGTATTATACCAATCAAACCTGAAATTTGAAACAGATTGAAAAAATTTAAAAAGTATGGTCAGTACTCACCAAAACTGCAGGTCAAGAAAATGAAAGTTGCTGTTGTAATATCGGAGAAGGTGTCTTCTTTCGGAAAAAGGAAATTTGGAACTTTAGAAAATTCCCTATGATCTTTCGGGTCTGAAAATGAAAATATTCACCTCAAATACGATACACCTTATACATGAAATATTATTAGTATTTCACTTCATGAAGAGGAAAATCATATGAACTAATTAAAAAATGAAAACGTATGATGAGTGATTCGATATCTCAGTCTTTGAAGTTTTCATTCGAAAAAAAATTCAATATTCAAGGGTAGCTTGTAATATCCTCCAAAGCACGATGGACATTTTTCACAGTTGGTGCCTGAGGGAGCAGATATCTGTCAACCCCAACAAAACTGTAATGATCCCTTTCACCAGGAGGAGAAAATTGGACGATCTAACGTCACTTTCCCTAAATGGTGGGGTCATTCCATTTGGAACGGAGGGGAAATATCTTGGCATTGTATTTGATAAAAAACTCACCTAGACACTCACTTGGAAAGAGTTTTACACAAAGTTAGACTGTCCCTATGGACATGACAAAGGATTTGTAGTACAACTTGGAGTTTAGGTCCCAAACAAATCCATTGGATTTATGTGATCATTGTCAGACCAATGATCACAATTGCCTGGTAGCCAAAGGCTTTACAGAAAACGGCCCAGGCAAAGCTCTCTGGCTTAGCTTACAGAGACAGGCTTGTCTGGCCATCAGTACCACACCGTCAGCGGCCATGGAGATCCTTCTAGATCTACCTCCTATCCACATTTTTCTGGAGAGAGAGAGGCTAGATGGACTGCATATAGACTTGTGCACATTGCCAATTGCACAAATCAATTCAATGCAGAATGCAACAGACAATGGAAGTCACAGCATTCTAGAAATGACCTCTGACTTTATGCCTCCGACTGTCAACAACAAACTGCTGTATAAAGTACTGTAATAACGGCCATTGCGATAGTAACATAAAATATTATTCCATTCATTGAGATCGAGGTCGATCACCTATTTCTTCGGTGTCGATATTTTTCCAGTGAAATCATTTGTAACAGTACTATTCCCGAGTAGAGAGGACTGGATACTCCGGGTATCAACCTGCCTCTATTTCAAGCGGAAATTTAGGCTATTGAAATGTGTGCGGAGAGGTTGGAAGAATCCAACCTCATATAAAAGTCGATTAAAATATTCTCGGGCAGTTATGCGGCGTTGGAAGCTCTTGGCTCCTACCGATCAACGTCTAAATTGGTAGCAAATTGCCAAAAACGACTATCCTCGATAGGAAGGCAATGAGGCTGCTAACTCCCTTGCAGAGAAAGGTGATGCAAGCAGCTTCATCGGACCAGAACCTGTCATTGGCATCGCTTTAGACTTTGCCAAACAAAGATTGAACACCTGGGTGGTAAGAAGATTTATGGACTTCTGGCAAAATCTTTCAGGATTGGCTCACCCCAAGGCGTTTATTCATCCTTCGAAACTTGAAACCAAACATTTCTTGAACTATAGTAGGGATGATGTGCGATGTCTAATAGGCTTTCTCACAGGTCACTGTCATCTGAATCATCATATGCAGAGATTCGAATTGTCGGAAGACAGTGTGTGTCGCCCCTGTTTAGATAATGATAAAACAGCAGAGCACATACTTTGTACCTACCCCGCTGGGGACTGAATCAGGTTTTTAGAGATCGGCTTCGTTAGGAAACTGGGTTTATTTGGTCGAGTATGAATAGGTGTGAGCCACAATAGAGGATCAAATAGACCCACTCACTTTGGACCTAGCCTAACTACATGCTGTGAAGGGCAGTTTTGATCTATAATAAATGCACAATGCAGTTAAGGTATTTAATTGGATAAGGGTTGATGCTGTATTGCTCAAAATAGTTTCGTGAATAAGACATTAATAAAAAACGGTTATTGAGGGTTATCCCTGAGAGATAGATATATGGGAACGATCGCGAACTTTTTTTCATGCATTTTTAAGGTGTGCAATACCGTAGTATTTTACCTAGTAGTTATCTATCTCGTAGGGTTCAGCCATCGTTTGCAATGTAAGCGCAAGAAATGTGTTTATTTACATCACAATAAAAACCTACAGTGTTTCTCTACCATATTATGCATCTTATATTCATATAAACCTTCCTCTTGAATCACGCTATCTATTAAAAAACCAGCAAAAAATCCGTTGCGTAGTTTTAAAGATATAAACATACATAGGGAAAGACAGCGGAAAGCGACTTTTTTTTATATTATGTATCGACAAGTATACCGGGTGTCAACGAATCTATTAGACAAGTCATAACTTCTAGACTATTAGGTGTATCAAAACGAGATTTGGTACAGATAAATGGTATGTGGAGAGGAGAGTTTTCACATATTTTTCACTTTCCGGTCACTTCCGGTTTCAGCGGAAATGGCTCCGGTTCTGAATTTTTAAATGGAACACCCTGTATATTGTAACATTTTTGGATTTCTGAGACAATTCTGGATCAGAAACTGACATTTCCGGAAGTTTTTCAGCCTACTTGATTTTTTCAGAGTCACTTNGATGCAATTTTAAAAGTGACTCTGAAAAAATCAAGTAGGCTGAAAAACTTCCGGAAATGTCAGTTTCTGATCCAGAATTGTCTCAGAAATCCAAAAATGTTACAATATACAGGGTGTTCCATTTAAAAATTCAGAACCGGAGCCATTTCCGCTGAAACCGGAAGTGACCGGAAAGTGAAAAATATGTGAAAACATTCCTCTCCACATACCATTCAACTATACCAAATCTCATTTCAATTCTCCTAATAGTCTAGAAATTATGACTTGTCTAATAGATTCGTTGACACCCGGTAGAGTACAGCAAAAAAAATTCTGTAATATTTATAGGCCCTGTTGATGTACGATTTGATTCCAGTTCTGGGATTAATTCTACTGGGATCTTGATAACTCTATCATGCTCAAAGGATGTAATCAGTCACAAAATCGCTACTTATATAAATTATTGGAAATAAAAAAATGTGTATCAAAGACCATTATTTGAGTTTATTTTTCAGATAAGAAAGTTGAAAACTTTTCAAATGTTTTTGCATGAAAATGTCATTATCTTCCTAAACTACGAAGCTTAAATTGGGGCAATGTTGCGTTTTTTTGTGCTTAACAAAATACTGTATTTCCGGAAATATCCGGAATTTATTTTGAATTACATCCGGAAAATAAAGCCGGATAGAACATTATTAATAATATACTTGGATGAGTACGGTGCGTTTCAAAAACCAAGAATGAAGTATGGAAGCAGAATGGAAGAAAATACTAGAAATAACTTACTAGCCGAGGTAAAATAATTGTTCTATCCATATTCTCATGAGTACCGATAAAATAATTCAAAAAACAGTACTCGTGAAATTGGTTATGTAAAGCTTGTTTCATTAATTAAAAGTTACGTTTCAAAAATCATGAAAAATATTCCAACTCACCTTGGGAGCAATTCAATTCATCACTATCATCTCCACAGTGATCAAAACCATCACAATTCAGTAGGAGAGGAATACACCTGAAGTTATTGCAGAGAAAATCTGAACTCCCGAAACAATCTTAAAAATAATTGAATAACTATTCGAAGTCCAGAAATTCCTTGAAATAATTTACCTTTATAATTGAATGCAGCATACACAATTGCTAAACGTGATTCTGGCATGAATATACCACGCAAACTTATATAGAAACCCTGCACAATAGGAACTACATGTTCCACCTGCTTTGATAAACCATAAGGAGTAGCTGGGTGTCGCAATATTTCCACTGAAGGCTGGTTCGAAGTGATACCCTGTCGTATAATCAACTCTGTTGTGCCAGCTGGAAAAATACATACTTAGTTGACTAAACTGTCAATATATACTTATGCACCCTGATTGAACGAATAAGATGAAAGTCGATTCGAAAAGGACAAGCCTGAATCATTATTATTTGAACTCGAAGTTCGACTGAAGTGAACAATATTTTAAAAAACTTATCTTATATATCATTAATTCAAATATGCACATTTTGTCACGTAGATTTATCATTACAGAACCTTGCAAATTATTATAGGGTATATCAGCCAAAAATGTTTTTACTCTTATTCTAAGCATTTTGTTGGTCAAATTTGCCCGTTTTATATCTGAGGGCAAGTGATTAAACATCTTGACCCCATTGTAATAAATAGAATCCCTGACCAAATTTCTTAAAGGAATTGGCAATTTCAACGCGGTGGAACGGGTGCTATAAGAATGGGATGAAGCCTCAAATAGGGAGATATTTTTGTAAATGAGGCAACCGTTTCCAAAATGAACAAAGCAATCACTGGTAAAATCTTTCGCTCAGCGAATTTGTGTCTGCATGAATCACGAATCACACACACCGATTTTGAACGGCCAGTATAAAATCGGCCGATTATTGGTAGCGGGTGCTTGCATAAAAATTGAAATATTAATAAACGCTGAAAATTAAAAAATTCAAAAATATTATTAACAAAAATAAAAATTAAATGATTCCAAACCAAGTTACATCACGACGGCGGGTGATAGCTGACTTGGTCCTCTAAGATCTGACTATTTATAGGTCTTTAGAGTGCTTTCACCTATCTCCTCTTACCTCTCCCCGCTTCATTGATTTTAGCGGGTGATGACCGTTTGGCGGCAGCTTGAGCCCACTTCAAGTTATGTTGATGAGTCAAAACATGCTCTGATATTCCGGATTTGGTGGTTACTCCTCGTTGTGTGTGTTTCTTGAGCTCAGCAATGAGAACTTTCGAAGGCCTCTTAGTTTCACCGATGTATGATTCTCTGCACTCGCAGGGTATCCCGTAAAGGCAATTCTTGGAATCGCAGTCCGCGTTTCGTGGCCTGGTTTTTATGAGGCTACTACGGATAGTGTTCCCAGATCTGAAGCAGGTCCTGATGTTATACTTGGATCCAATCCTTCTTATCCTTTCCGATAATTCTCTGATGTAGGGAAGTACAAATACTGGTTGTGGCGACTTCTTTTCCTTTAGTGCTTTTGCTGTCTGATAGCTAAAGCCTATTTTACCATCACTCTGGAGTAACCATTCCGTTGAAGGTAATTTTAGATGATGCCTAGTTCCTTTTCGAGACCTTCCTTTGTATTACAGAGCCCGAACGCTCGGTCTAGTAGAGTCTTGATTTCAGCTATCATTAATATTTCAATTTTTTATTTTTTGGTTATTGCTTGTATGTTATTTCTTTGTAATTTCAGTTTTTTGTTTAATAAAATTGTTATTTTCGGTTAATCTTTTTAATTTTTTTTCAGGGATTTCAAATCAATTTATATTAGACAATAGAAGTCCGAACTGATGAAATACACCACAAAACATTGTCAACCATCTTCAGACAAACATTGGAAATTCGTATTGTGTCTCATGTGTTAAAAATTTGGTGTATTTGGCCCTGAATGGTACTTGTTATTAAAACATAATGTTCTCTTCCGATCATAAAAGATTCAATACAACCGCTCCACAGTTCTGTACAACCAATTCCATATTGTTTGATTAGCAGAATTTGAAAATTGACACATTCGATGATATAGCCTGCAATAAATCTTTGTTGACATATTATTACCAGGCTTGAAAGTTCAAAAATCAGGGAAAACAAAGTTACGCGAGAAAGTTCAGTGTTCTATTCAGTGCAAAGAAACAAGTCGTAGCATAACAATTGTGTGCGAAGTGTCCGTTAGATTAGCGTGTGCATGATCTTTTTCCATGTGATTGAATTACCGGAAATCATTTCCGCGCTACTATCATTACAATATAAAATACCTAAAAATAATTTTAAATGCATCATCCGTAGCTGAATTGGTTGAAACGGCAAACAATTAAATATTTTCAAAATAAGAAAAGACGTATAGCCACACACAGCTGTTTATGTATGAGATTCAATACAAAATATATTTCAAATGGTAAAGAGATGGGTGGAGGTTGATCCCTTTTCGGATTTTCGACTGAATGGTTGGCACTGATCAAAATCTAATAAACATTACCTAAAATTAGTGTCACTCACCAAAACTCGAGAATGTTGCAACTTTAACATATAAATGTGTTTTTCGATGTAGAAGACTTTCAGGTGGTTTGATTATCCAAACGCAATCAAATAATTTCGTGCCCGATTCCAGCATATTCATCATTGTTATTCCTCCTCCTAGATTATTGACATTTCCTCCACAACCTATAATTCAACAAATGTAAGCACTTTCTTGTTACGATGATTCCACAATTACCGATTATTGGTTTGAAAACTAAGTCATCCAATGTTCCCAATATGAAAGAGTATGTTGCCTTGAATCCAAAATCGGAAGCTCCATTGGCATAAAATCTGATAGTCATTGACGGACCATTACTAGTGATTACTGGCGGTCTGAACGTGTTACCAGAAATGACCTGCATTCTTTGTCCATTCCAATCGAAGAACTAAAAAATTGTACTGTTTAATTTTGTGTATCAATTTCGTTGTCTTTTACCTCGATAATCGAAGAATCTTCTAAAAGGAAATCAGTGAACAACAGATTAATTCTACATGTTTCCTTTGATTCACAACTTATGATATATTCAAGGCTCAAATCTGTAGGATATGAATATGGAAAAAAGGGCGATGAAATTATTTGGCTTGAGTTGTTCATATTCCCAATTCTCGGATAACCATGAATAATAATTGTATTTCCTACAAAACAAAACTCAAACAACGTTTGGGTATAAAAGGTTTCGGCTTGCTTCCTCTCCATCTTTATACAAAAAAATGTGGAAATCTTCCAAAAAAAAGAAAAAACCAAATTATTTTAAACTAAACTCTCAACAAAGATATGTAGATCATGCAAAGAACTAACTTTCAGAATTCAGACACAAACTGGAAGAAGAATCACTCTTGAAACAGTTACTTTCATATAAACATTCATTTACACAAAAGAAAAATTCTTTTGAAACAAATACTTCCAAATAAACACTGAATTATATAAAAAACATTTTTTCTATTCAGTTTTTACTCCGAACATTAGTTATGGAATTGATTCAGATATAGTCAGATAAGTCCGATAAGTCAGATAACTAATGAAATTCATTCACAGGATTGCTACACAATAACGTATATAAAAGAGGTAAAATTTCATTTACATGGAACACTGTCATCCTCAATGGCGGACATCGATGTTACGAAATAAGACACTTGTCTTATTGCCTCTTCGGTACCAATCTGGATAACATCACAAGATGAAGCATTCAATCTGAGTGTTGAAAGTAATGTTTTATTTTGTGAGTAAAAAGTTGGCGAGTTGAGCAATTTCACGAAAAAAATAAAACTTACTTTCAACACAAATATCATACATAGTTTTTTGTACAACTGTCCTGTTTTCATAATAAAATACACCAATTTAATATTTCTATAAAAACACATTTTGACATGTTATCGCATTTGCTGTGAAGTGGCCGTGTCAGGTTACGCCGAATCACCTGGTTATAGTCTATCCATTCCCAATTGGAACGGCAATAAAAATAAGAGTACAGTCAAACATTTTTTGCCTGTGGCCCCTAGTCGCCCAGATAGTTAGTAAACGTGCTATCAATTGTAGTTGAGGAGTAAAGGCTTGGCTAGCTGGACTGGCTGAATACTAATTGTTTTGTCCGTTTCACAATATTTCTTTATCAGTGCCATGTGTTCATGGGGTTAGGTGAGGTAGTGAGTGGTTTTGCAAACCGATTTTTGAAAACTTTCACTAGAGATCAATTACCCTAACACCAAACAAGCCATCTAGTGGCGAGTTACAGAAAAATTGATAGCCTAAAAACCTTCTCTATGAAAAATTACTTATACATGTCAAGTTTCATCACGATCGATTGAGCGATGTAGAAGTTTATCACTTACCAACCAAATAACAAACATCCATTTTTATATATTATATTGAACAATCGGATGGTCATAATGAAATCGACACGCATTGTTCAACTCCGACAAGAATATTTGAGGCGAATGAAAAGCTACCGAGAATCCAGCAGACATATAATCAGTTAACATGAATTTCCACAAAATAAACAAGTGGTCAATCAAAGAAACATAATCTACCTCGACGAAACTTGGTTTGACACCCATGATGTTGTCAAATATGGCTGGGTAGACGAAACTAAGTATTGTGCTTTGAACACACCTTCTTCAAGGGAAAAACATGTTATAATTTTGCATGCCGGGAATGAAAGTGGTTTCGTACCTAACGCTTTGCTTCTGTCGGCCAAAAACATAAAAGATTCGTCTGCTGATTACCACGAAGATATGACTGTGGCTTTATTCGAAACCTGGTTCAGTGAGCAGCTTCTCCCAAATATTTCTCCAAACTCGATTATTGTTATGGATAACGCTTCGTATCATTCTCGGTTATTGACTACAATACCAAACAATAACACAAAAAAGCAGATATTGTTAATTTCATGCGAAATCATGACATGGAACTACCCGAAAAGATTCCAACGAAAAAGGTATTACTGGCGACCATTAAACAACGTAATTTCAAAAAAGAATATATTATTGATACGATGTGTGAAACACGTGGTCATATTATCTTACGTTTTCCTCCATACTATTGTGTGTTCAATCCAATTGAAATGGTTTGGGCGACAATGAAAGAAAGCTTGCAGAAATGTAATCAGTCACCGACTTTGAATGTTGTAGTGCTTGACAATATAAGGCGAGTGGTGAATAAAGTAGGTAATAGTGATGTGTGGATGAACTGTGGCCCACGTTATAAAAGAAGAGAACAAATATTATGTGCAAAGTTCCATAAATCCGATCGTTATTCAACCCGATGATGATTCCACCTCATCCGAATATAGCGAAGAAGAATTTTCATTTTTCTAGCAATTTTGTTGGCCTCTATTATTTTGTGAATATATGTTTGACGAGAATTCGGTATGATTATTTGTGTTTTCATTGTATTTTAAAGTTTTCGACTCGGAAATCAACTACCTTATATTTCGAAGTTTTTCATAATTACCCATGGTGAAAAAATTCAGTTGAGATAACTTTTTCATGGGGTGATCAATTGCTATGATTGTAAGAATAAGTAACTTAAAGACTACCACTGAAAAATAATATGCCGACGCCTATGTTGAGGCGGGAATTCCTTCTCAATGCTGTTTCAATTGGTATTGGAAATACTATACCAACAAACAGTATTGTTTACAGCTCACGCGTTTTATTCAAAGTCACATTTAAAGTTCTTTCTGGTGTTTAATGTTTTGCATAATGCAGAACAATAGTGAGGAATTGTGTATTCCTGACGATATTGAAGAGGCTGCAAAAAGAGCTTCAATTGAATTGTTACCAAAAAAATCGGCTCAGCAGTGCGACATCGCATATTCTAATTTTCATAGCTGGTATAGACTTAAAAACGTCGATGGAAATTTCAGCGAAACCATCTTCTTAGCCTATCTAGAAGAGAAATTAAAAGTCGAGTGCGCTCGACTTCATTATTGAATTTATTATATTTCAAGGTAATAGCATTCTTAAAGCGGAAAAATGAAAGTGAATATATGGCGTGAAGAGCTGTGCCATTTATTATTAGAAGACATTGATTTGAAATTTGATCATTGATTGATCAAATTTCAAATACAAAAACGAAAATAGATCGTTCTTTTTGCATTGTTGGAAAAAATATTGACTATTTTAAAAAATACGTTGCATTACGCCCTTCTGTTATCAATCATTAACCTTTTTTTTAAAAAAAAACTCAAATTATAAATGCAGTGCCAACCCAGTTGATATAAACACGTTTGGGAAAATGTCCTCTACCATTGCAGAGTTTCTGAACCTTCCGGAACCAAAGGAATATACAGGTCACTGTTTCAGAAGGTCTTCTGCTTCTTTGCTAGCAGAATCAGGAGCAAATATAACGGATATTAAGAAGCACGGAGGATGGAAGTCTACAACAGTAACTCAGGGTTACATCGATCAATCTATTTCTTATAAAAAGGCCATTGCTGGAAGAATAATCCCAACAGCTACTCCAGTGTTACAGCATCGTCCTCTTTACTCCAAGAATTGAATATTAATTTCCATAAAATTGTCAACTCAGATAGTTCAAATATATTACAAGGCCCTTCAACATCGTAAGGCATCAATATCAGCAGTTGTTTTAATTGTATTTTTCATAATAATGTTCATAAATACTACTAATAATTTACATTATGTGAATAATACATTTGTAACTGAATTCAGTTGTAGCTATCTACATTTATTGTTCATAATAAAACTTCCTTGAAAATTGAATAATTATGTTTTGTTTATTGCTATTTGCTCGAAACATATTGTGTTAAAAATACTTTAAATACTAGGGTTAAAAACATATTTTCAACAGGCTACTTTGTAAACATCATCTTTTAATACTCTTGACAACCATTAAAAATGTCACTTTCAATGACAGTTGTACAAAAATGTATTTTCATGCGTACTTTGCATGTACAAATACACACATACACATTTACAGTCACAAAATTATCACCTTCTCCTATCAAAAATAGTGAAAGAAAAACATACGTTTTGTGGAATAGTCCAGAGTAAAGGCGTGACCGTAATCTTTGTTGAATATGAAAGATATTGCTACAGTTCTGGTTTGACTAACGTAAGATAACTCCGATATATTATTTTCGATGAATCTTCCACAGAATTGTTCTCCTGACGCATCTTCAACTGGTGGTTCATAAATCCAAACATAATCGCATCCACAAGTGTCATAAACTGATGACTTTCCACATATTCTTGAAATATTCAAGTACCTAAAATAAATGATATAGACAGTCAATCATGAAGATCCAATATTTTTACTGAGAGTAATATAGATTAGAGAATACGACAATAAAAATCAGACAATTCTAAGCAAGAATAGTTTTTTGTAACGAAGGCATTATTTATGTTGAATGATGTATGTTAATCTGTGTGTGTGTGTATGCATGTGTGTGTGTGCATGTGTGTGTGAGAGAAAGAGAGTGAGAGTGAAAGAGAACTCGTCATTTGTTATGTTTGTTATTCGAATACACCGCAAGTTGCATATCAGTATTCAACTTGCAGAAAGTAATCCAGAAACTTCATTTGATGTTATTGAGAAGGAACTCCAAATTGAAGCTGATGATGTTGAAAGATTCATTATTGAAGTACTGAAAACGAAATTGGTTAGAGCCCGAATGGATCAAGCAGCAAAAAAAGTATTCGTATCCAGTACCATGCACAAGACTTTCGGCAGGGCCCAATGGCAACAATTGCGTGATTTACTTCACTCATGGAGGTTTAACCTGAGTTATGTGCAGGAAGGTATGAGAAGTATCACAGCGGCCCCGCAGGAGGTGGCATCTAATAATTAAATACTTCATTGGAAAATGAGATTAAAAATGACTTCTCTATATTTTATGTTGTTTCTAAAGTACCTTTTATAATATTTTAAATTTATGTGTACATACTATATCAAAAATAAAACTTCGAATTCAAAGTATCTACAGATGAAATGAAATAATTGAATATTCTATATATTTTTTCAAAAACTAGAAAATATACCCCTTTCAATTTAGTCAATTATTCATTTCTGATGGAAATTACGTCATCTCTCTCATCATTGTATTGAAATTGTTATTAAATCAGTTATTGGCAACTTCGAAAACTCAAAGTATAATGCAAAAAACATGCTAAGAGAAAACATTATGAGTATGAAAAAATACATCGCAGAGTCATACAAATGATATATTCAGATTTCTTATGCCATGGAGGTTTCGAATCCGATGAAATCAAGCAATTCTGATCTTCCGATTTCGCTAAAAGCGGTATCATTGAAATTGTCTAGACGTTAAGAAACATAATCAATCATTTTCCGATGTCAAAAAAACCTAAGAACGTATTTCTTTCATAAAAAGTGCAATAGGACTTATGGCAAATCGTTTCAAACAAATTCATCTATAGATCAAGAAAATCATGATATCGAAAGCAAGAAGTGCCATAGCATGGAAAAAACTTGTTTCACTATACAATAGCTTCCTCAAACATAAACTAGAAGTTATTTCTAAATTACAACCATTTTATACTTTAAAATATTACCTACTCGTATGCCTACTTTCTAATGAATGAATCTACCTGAAAAGGTCAGGTATGAATTCAATAATTATATGAATAAATTTTTCGAAAGTACCATAAATGTACTTAACTAGTTTTACCTGGAAATGAACAGATTCAATGATGGCGAATTATTCAATTCAGTTCAATTTGTTTATTTCCATACTATCCAAAAGGTTAAGTTTCAAATCTTTCTTATGGAAATGAAGGGGCTTGTATTCATGGTTGAACTCATGTCCCTCTTTGATTAAATGAGTGGCATATGTGAAATTTATTTTTCCATTTTGGAAACTATTTTTGTGTTCCTTTATGCGGGCTTTGAATGTTCTTCCAGTTTGTCCTATATAAAATATCAGACATATGACCTAAATGATAATTTATACACTCACGATTTTTCTGATACTGAACTTTCATCTTTGTTATTCTTAATGTGCATGCCTAAGTTGTTGTTGGTTTTGAAAGCAATATTTACACCTTTGTAGTGGGTTGGCCTAAGTAGGTTAAGGTTAAGAGTATATCATATATATAGGACAAACTGGAAGATCGTCCAAAACCCGCATAAAGGAAGACAAAAATAGTTTCTAGAATGGAAAAATAAATTCCACGTATGCCACTCTTCAATCACAGAGGGACATGAGTTCAACCATGAATACAAGCCCCTCCATTTCCAGAAGAAAGGTTTGAAACTTAACCTGTTGGATAGTATGGAAATAAACAAATTCAAAAACTCTCAATGTCTCATGAATCATCAAACTGAATTGAATAATTCGCCATCATTGAATATGTTCATTTCCAGATAAAAATAATTAAGTATATTTATGATACTTTCGAAAAATGTATTCATATAGTTATTGAATTCATACCTGACCCTTTCAGGTAGATTCATCCATTAGAAAGTAGGCATACGAAAGGTAATATTTTAGAGTATAAAATGGTTGTAATTTAGAAGTAACTTTTAGTTTACGCTTGAGGAATCTATTGTATAGCGAAACATGTGTCGCGGTTTTTGTAAAACCCTTTATAGTGAAAATCATACAATAAACTGTAATAATTAGTTTAAATATGGATTTTCATCAAACATCGGCCAGTTCTATTCAATTACTTCCTTTCAGTTAGATAGTGGCTAAGTCATAGGTTTCCTGGCACGTAGATGAGTTGACCTTCACAATTTGGTATTATTCAATCCCCCTTCTTTGAGATTTTCGGGGTTGTGTCATCCTACCAGAAATAGTCTACAGAGTTTTCCCCCTAAAAATAAATTTGACGTGTTTCTGAATATTTTCAGATTTTCAATAGGGGCCGAAATATAGAAGGTGGTACGTTTTCAAATTGTCACTCTGTATATACAGAGAATGAAAAATAAATCTCAAATTTCTTTCATTCTGCTTTCTCTCTTCTAAAAATAATATAACCCTATATTTGCCCCAATTGTGGATGGCAGATACAAGCTGTTCAAATGAATCCAGTGGGTACGTACTTTTCATTTCCCACAAAGAATTTTATCTAGTGTATTCTAACAAAAATCATCAAAAATACTCACAGCTATATTCTCACTCCTTTAGTACATTCCTAAACAGAGGAAATAGTTCCAATTCAGTGATGAATAATTTTGTCAAAATATTCGAACACACACTTACAAGTCGAATAGTTTCATCAATAAGTGGAATATAATAACTGAAAGGCGGTTTGAAATTGAAGTACAAATAAATATGATAACTATGGCAATTCTAGACTTTATTGAAGATACTTTCAAAGCTATGAATGATCCTTTTTTATCTCCGAATTCAAGAACAAGAATTTTAAGAACAAGTGCTGATATGCTGAGATTTTTGATATTCTTAAAGAAGATGGCAATGTCAAAACAACAAATCTGAGATATCATTAGCATTTAACGCTGCATAACATTTTGTAGGCATTAGTGTATACTTTTTTTATATCTAATCTCCTAAAATATCAAAATCAGCACTAATTTACTTACTGCTAAAAAGAGAAATATTGAAAGATATATCTTGAAAAAATATCCACTTTGCTATTCTTTTTTTAAAGTTTTACATTATGATAATTCATACGAATTGCGATTTTCCATACAAAAAATACAGAGTGAATATGTAACAATTACTATCGAAGCTGTCAGCTCATCAACTATAACTGAAGTGAAATTCGAAAGTAATGTTATTTTTTTAATATCTACGAATACGATTTCAAATGTACTTACCTGAACTTGATTTCGATAATACAAGAAGGGCAAGTGATAAACTCTACAGAACATCTATTATAAGATGTCATATTCCGTCTAATCGAGACATTATTTCGAAAATTTGCCAGTAAAGATCCAGTCTCTCCATGTTCCAAGTATAATCTCTTACCATTGGTAATTCCACATATGTCATCAAACTGTAAATAACTTTCGGTAAAAATGGAGGAAACTATGATAATGTTTAAAACTGGGAAAATATACATCTAAAGTGTGCGAAAATCGATGATAACAGCAAGCTGCCTGTATTCAGATTCAGCTTGTCTACCTACTGAAAGTAAAATAGTAAAAGAAACCTCACAAAGAAAATTCAAATCTTGTTAGTTACATTAAAACAGGTAATTATTGGATTGTGCAACCGTTGGCACGTCATTTTGATATCCTACGTGAATTAGTCTCAGCAATTAATGAAATAAAATTTAAAAATGAGGAAACGAAATAGAAACTCTTGTTAGGATAACCAAAGTCCGCAAAGTATGCTAACTACGAAAAAAATTGGACAACAAACACAAGAATTCATGAACTTCTATAGTTCATTCAATTCGAAACATCAAGTTTGTATAGCAATCGTTCAAATTTGTCAAAAAATATATTCAATGAACCACCAGGTGGTTTATACAAAGAAATAATAATGATGTTTATTTCAGGTAAGGCAACTTCCACTGATGAGCACTCGAAATAACCATTTGTTGAAATACTTACTAAATGTTTAATGATTTGCACTTTATTATTAAGAAGAAATGAAAGATTAAAAGATTCCAAGCCAAGTTACTTCACGACGTTTCGATTGTTAGTATCCACAATCGTCTTCGGGTGATTATCATTAGTATTAACTTCACTTACGTTGGTCTTCATATATAGAATGCCCTCTGCCTTCGCCACAATGTTGTTCATTTGGTTTCTTTCTACAATTGCTAATCACTAATCAATAACATATCTATTTGGTTCGTTTTTTCAATAAGATAACTGCAGGTCTATTTACTGGTATCAGGGACACTTTGATAACTCACATACTGACTGAATATTTTCATACTAAACCCTGAACCGAATCACAGCATTATAGAGCAAGATCCCAGGGCCCCCAACCCCCAAACTTTATTCATTTTCTGCTGGATAAAATATATACAAAAGAGAATTATCAGTATTTACAGTGAACCTATATACATATACAGCTTGGGCCGATGGCCAATTTTCAGGTTTGAGAGTATCCAGATGACACCATGTTACTCCAAACAGTTGTGTTACCCGGCTTTCGTACAACGGCAACTTGTTTACAGTTCACCTTGCGTATCGTATTTCCTCAAAGAGAAATGCCAGAGCGTTATTTGATGGGCGACACTTCTTACCGGACTCCTTTGGGGTGAATTGACTTTCAATGTACTTATAGCTTTCAGCGTCATTCAAAATCAAATCTTGAAAATGTATCGGTATTCGAACTCCATCTGAGTTTCGGTAGTTTGGCAATCCATGTGGTTTTTGGGTATGCTCATGAAGACTGACAATCGAATGATCAAATATTAATTCGTCGAAAACCTATTAATTCGTTTGTGTTCACCATTTTGATGATTCAGTAGGTCTAAGCTGGGATCTAACTGACCAAAGAAACTTTAGATCTTTGAAAGGTAAACGGTGTCCTGCCCTGTTGGGTGGAATGAAGGATTTACTTAGCACGTTCACTTTTTCATTGTGTGTCTTATCCTGAAGACACCGAGTATATTATACCTACATATGATATCGGAAACTCATTACCACATTTCATTCAACTCCAGAATAACAATAGTTTTCCCGTCCTGGAAGGCGATCAACTCGTCTTTATCATCCAATACGACCAACTGAAATAGGGTGACAGGCATATAAATAATGTATTGAGTTCTTTGAAGAACTTGTATCAAATCTTGACATCTATATCGAATTGAAATGAGTTTCTTGACCGTTCAAAAATGCTCCTGATTCTAGATATATTTTTTCGAAACCCAGCGTCCCGCTAACGAACCATCCCGTGTGAATTGATTTCTACATGGAGTAAATTTGCTTTCAACTTTAATATTTTGTTGATCTCCGACGGTTGGAGTGATCCTTCTTATCTACTACTATTTGCCTTATACAGTACTTTTTCCGAGTAGAGGTGACTGGATCCTCCGGGAGACGGAAATATTAATATTGAATTGTGTGCGGAGAGATTGCTATAGAATCCAACCTTACACACAGGTCAATAAAAATTTTCTCGGACAGTCAAGCTGCGTTGGAAGCTCTTGGCTCCTACCGAGCGAAATCTAAATTGGTAGCAAATTGCCAAAAACGACTCTCCTTAATAGGAAGACTTAACAATTTGTCTCTGGCCCGGATTCCTGGCCACACTGGCCTGGAAAATAATGGCTCCTAGCAAAGGAGGGTGCTACAAGCAGCTTCATCTGACCAGAACCTGTCATTGACACCGCTTTAGGATTTGCCAAACAAAAATTGAACACCTGGATGGCAAGTAGATTTGAAGACTTCTGGCAAAATCTTCCAGGATTGGCACACTCCAAGACGTTCATTCACTCTTCGAAGCTTGAAACTAAACGGTTATTGGATCACAGTAGGGATGAACTACGATATCTAACAGACCTTCTCACAGGTCATTGTCGTCTGAATCATAATATGCAGAGACTCGGACTGTCGGAAAACAGTGTGTGTCGCTTCTGAGAAATGATGAAACAGCAGAGCATATACTTTGTGCCTGCCCCACTGCGGACCCAATCAGGTTTTCAGAGTTTGGTAAAACCAAAGCCACAAAGCCTTCTACATGTCCATAGAAACAGTCTGGCTTTGTGTAAAACTTCTTCTAAGTGACCGTTCCAGGTGAATTTTTCACCAAGGACAATGCCAAAAAATTTCACCTCCGTTCTAAATGAAATGATCTCACCATTAAGGGAAAGTGGCGTCGGATCGTCTGATTTTCTCCTCCTGGTGAAGGGGATTATAACAGTTTTGCTGGGGTAGACAAACATCTGCTCCCTCATGCACCAACTGTGAACAACGTCCATCATGCTTTGGAGGATATTACAAGCTACCCTTCCCGACGTGGACCTTGCTAAGATGACAAGATCATCTGCATAGGCTTGCAGATCTACTTTTCTTCTGTCGAGGGCATCAAGCAGACTATCCATCAGGAGCGACTACAGGTCGTGAATATTTCATCGGGTCGTTAAAAGCAGGGGAGCCCACGATGCAAAATGGGGATTTACTGGAGCGTCATTGAGACATATCAGGTTGCAAAGTTATATAATATATACCTTTTCATCGGTGGGGGAAACGGCTATAGATTTTGAAATATGTTAAAAAATACTGTTGCATGGACATCCAATTTTTTTTATTTTTTTTTTCATTTATTGAACTTAATTATTTGAAAAGCTCAGGAAATAGCATGCAAATAAATAAGTGTATGTTTTTTAAGTAGAATACTTATATTCATAAGAAAATATTTTTTTTGAAATGCTCAAAAAAAAATTTTTTTTTATAATCAATTGATTAATTAATGAAGAAAAGAGAAATGAAACTTTCTATGTTTTTTACCACTTTTATTTGTAACTAACGTTACTGCAGTTTCGTCCTATAAAGACATTTTCAAACTTATATATTGTATAAGTTTGAATATGTCATATAGAACGAAACTGCAGTATCGTTAGTTACAAATAAAAGTGGTAAAAACATAGAAAGTTTAATTTCTTTTTTCTTCATTATGATTTCCTACCACGTAGTAACGGCTACATAATAATAATGAATTTATTCAAGCGAAGACATAAAATACAATGTTACAGGCACGCATAATATGTGGAATACATTGATACGATACATTGGTTACAATGACCCTAATTTATTCTGAACAAATTCATGGAACCCACAAAGGAAATCCTGTGCGTGGGTCCATCAATTAATTAATTAATTAATCACCATCTTCATCTTCATCACGAACGAGTCTCTGTAATTAGCTGTGATGGCGTCATGGCAACATAATTCAGAGTGGGGACGAATTGAGAGAGTAATAGATAGAGAAAAAGTGAATAGAGAATAGAGGAATAGAAGCTCGGAGAGGGAAATATAGGTACCACACAACTGCACGCATTAAACTTTATCGATGAATTTTTGTTATTTCGGCTTGCGGAAATCGTCAGATTATATATTTTTCGTTATCCTTGAATTATTTCCTTCAAAATAAAAAAAAAATAGCTACGCTCGAGAATGTCGAAATGACGTTATTTCTTCACAACTTTGTTGTCGTCCTCTTTCTTTACGTCACTCTCAAATTGTCAGATTACTGATATGCACTTTTTAGCAGGTAATTAACTCACCCTACCTTAATCTGACGCGCTCGAGAATTTCTGATGATCAATTTTTTTTTACTAATCTGATCCTTTATCCCTCACAGGCGGCCTTATATATGGGGCTCATATTTGGTGGAGGTACTTAACCGGGTACAAGGTATCCCCCTGTATATTAATCTGCCGCGCTTTAGTAAATCCCGAAATCCCCGCTTGGCCTCCCCTATCATTAAGCATCCAACTTCAGCAGTCGGCTCTCTAGAGATAATCTTGTGAATTCTTTTGCTGCGTGGTAAATCAGAGATACTCTCACAGAACTTTCTCCAAGACTTCCGTTTTGCCTTTCTTATTTCCTTGTTGTATGTCATTGGAGTAGTTTTATAAAGCTCTCAGTTACCTGACTCTTAAGCTCGATTGAATAATCGTCGAACTACTTTTCTTAGTTTTTACAGGCTTTTGTTCCACCAAGAAGAGTTATGGTTATCTGTTTTAAACCTCAGTGAACAGTTCTCATGATATGATAAGATCACTGCTTCGCGAAATTGCTCCGCTAGTGTATCCATATCATTACAACTGTGAATAGTAATGAATCCTCAAAGTACGATTGGAGGAAGTTTTCATACCCAATCCAACCAGTAGATTTTTGAGTCACGATATTCCACTACTGGTCTTAGACCTGTTTCAATATTGAAAACAATATATCTTTAATCTGATCAGGAAGGTTCAGTAAATACAGACCAATGGTGTATCTTGTTGCATGGCCGTGCTTGACCAGGACCCAACTTTTCCTTGTGGAGAATATTCCACTCCAAGGTTGACAGACTAGTGAGGACCTGGTCGGAGGTCAGTCTGCAACTGCCTTCGCCAGGTAGGTAAGCAACACAGGTGTGTGGCTTCGGAAGTTGGTCCCCTGTGACGCATTTCAGAGAAGCGCCCTCCCACGGTTGCAGGGTATTAACTACACCCACAAGCCACTCGGTGCTAACCTGATCCTCACAGACGACCTGTAACCATCAACGTCGAAAAACGCAGCTCTGAAATTGTACCTGTGGCCCATTATCTGGAATAAGCTCTACAGCCGACAAAATAACCCCCCCTGAAGAGATTGGCCGTTAATGAGGTAGTCGGATAATCAAATTGCAAGATTCCCACCTTGATACCCGCAACAACCTTCCCATATGAGAGTTTTTGCACGTCATCTACACCTGACGATGCCTTAGATTCAGCCGTGCAGGGCTTTTTCGCCTTTGGTTTCAATGAATCATCATTTGAGCGCAAACGTTTGCTATCTTCTCATGAGGGGTTTGTTCCTCCACCTGAGACAGATTCTGCGTACGCTGCTGAAGAATTTGGTGCAAGGCGTTTTCACGCCTTGCACCGCTCTGCTCTTAAGGATATGACTCAATCGTTTTCTGGCTTCACCACCAAACTATTTTTTTAGGTTCAGTTATTGGATCAGGAGTTGGAGAGTTAAGAAGCTCTCGCTCCTGATCTGAAGTTACAGGGAGGTCGGTTGGAGTCGTAAGTCCCAAACCCATATTCCTTTTGAACTTCATGTCACGTTCACCAAGAGTGGCGACTTCGGATCGGAATCGATTTCAAAATTCCTGTTCAAGCACCTAATCAACCTTCTTTCATCGAACGAATCCACCTTCGAATAAGCAAAGTCGTAATTTTTACAGGCGATATCAGGCTGATTATTCCTGGGATCTTCGCGTGATACGTGTTTTTGTAGTTTTGTCCCCGGTGAAGAAAAGTTATATTAAATTTTTGCAACAAAACATTTTTAGAAAAAAGGAACTTTCCACCGCAATACTGATATTTGGGTAAATGCAGTTTGATGGAAAGTTCATTAATCAACGTATTGACAGCGTGTTTATGGGTACGAACGGGTGCGAGAGCATCTACCACGTCTTCTCTTCATTACTATCAATATCGAAATAAAATTGAAGAGAAGATATAAATCATAATGAGCCTTTTAACACTCAAACCAAAGTTTACAATTGATAATCTTGATGAAAGATTTGGATATAGAAAGTAGGACAAAAATCAGAACTAACGATGCCAAATGACAAATTGTGGAGGAGATACATAGACCTGCTCGAAGGAACTTCCAGAGAAGAAAAACTTCAATACAACTATATATAGGAATCGATGGTATATCGATCTTGCTGATTTTCATGAATACAGCAAATTCATCAAACGTTATAAAAACATTTTTGTAGCTATACATAGCTACTTCAAATACACGTGGTGCCGGCCATTCAGGAATAAAACTGCTCCTGGAATGACGTTAGCTATCAAAACGATACTGAAGAAACCGCTATACTCTCTGAAGAATATTGTTACTGATCAGGGAAAAGAATGTTTCCACAATTATTTTGAGAGTATAATACTAAAGCATCACATCAATTATTATTTCACATTGTCTGCGAAAAAAACAGCTTCAGTGGAATCTGTGATAAAGACTATCAAAACGAGTAACGAGTAAACGCGAAAAAAAATCGTTTTTTTTCATTATTTGTTAATAATATCCCTGCGCTTTACACATTTTTCATAGAAAGTATCGAATTTGTTAACACGTTTCTCACCTTTTCCTGTCGGCATCCTCACACTTGTAACGCAGGATAAAATATTCCGATATTCAAACTTGAAGAATTACTTTGATATGTGGAATATATTTTCTTCCACATATCTTCTGTTGTGCCTAGTGATGCCGGTTGAAAACGTATCCACCCCTTTTCTTTGCTGAATTCTTTAAAACAAAAAGTTAATCATACTTGATCAGTTAGCTTTCAAATTTTCCGTTCACGTCAATATAACAATCTATGGGACAATATAACAGCCCTTCACCGGTTTGATATTGATCGAAACAAGTCGTAATTCAAACATACGTCAAGTTGAACTGTATGATTGAATTATTTTGACAGAGTTTTTAACAACAAGATATTTCTCCATTTCCACGAAGAATACAAGAACTTTAAAAATTTACGAACAATGTTCAGTGTCACAAACATTCTAAAATATTTTCTAACACTTTCACCAGTAGAATGAGGCAACACCGCATGTCATTCCACTTTTTCAATTTCATTTTTGATTTGGGCGTAACTCCCATTATGAATAAATATCGCTGAGTTTGCAGTTTCCACCGAACGTGTTGAAGCATTACAGAAGCACCAACGAAATGTTTTACAAACATCCACAAAACGTCTAGAAACATTCTGGAAACGCTTCTAGACTCTTCTACCAGGCTTCTAGACGTTTCTAGAACGCTTCTAGATGTTTCATGAGCGCTTGTTGATTAGCCTTGGACGCTCTTTGGTACATCTGGAGGGCTTCACATTTTGCTCATAACATGAAACTACTTCATTATTAATTATTACCCGTAAGGCATAAGATAAACATTGGTTATTGTGAAAACTAACTGTTTTCATGAACAGTGGAAAATTCGTTGTTGCTTCTTTCTATTGCAATATTCTTTCACAAAAATGAAAAAGACAACTCTTCATAATGATTTAAATCCAAAAGGTATTGTTTAGTGAACCGGTGTGATAATTATGTATCACACTATCTGCTCAATTCGTTTTAAACACCAGGATCAATCTCACTTGGTAACGAGTGAATTTCAGTGGAAATGAAGGCCAATCGTCTAAGTTGCATAAATAGTACACAATTAAACTCTGAAAACTGCTTTAGGTTTCACTTCCGAACTAGCATCATCCTCCAATTAACAGATTTTTTCTAATGCTTTCACTACAGGAATTCTGAGAAAATGTTTGTTAAAATAATAAAATTAATTCAAACTGAAAGGGTTATATTTTTGGAAAAGAATAGTTTTTTGAAAAGAAAGATTTTGGCTTTATACTTCTTTACCTCCATACAAGAAAATGTAAGAAACTTCCAAAGAAAGGAAGTAAGCAATCAATCCCAAAAATGTAACTCTGTACGAAGATGTTTAGATCATGTAAAGTAGTAACTTGCAGACACAAACTGGGAGAACAAGCCGTCTCGAAACAATTAATATTCAATATTTCGCAGAAATGTCGAAACAAAATATGACTTTGATGATTATTTTTCATTTGTTTTCTTTGAAAAGTATCCACTGCCACCATGCGTCAATGGTCCTTTCGAATTTTATTGCTCTGAGATAAAGAAGATGATATGTCTACATAACCCAAAAAATTATTTGGCTCCAAAGATTTGTCATACATTCAAATTTCAAAATATAGCTGTTGACAATAACTCAGCGACTCGGCTACTGCTTACAAATATAGAACTTTTATATCTTGAAAATGAGTGGTTCGGTGTTCAATGAAGATACTTTGCCAGATTTGTTACCTCTATATTACAAGAGGTTATTTCCACATTTACAGTTTTATAGGTGGTTAAGTTATGGTAAATATACTTCAAACTTGAATAAACTCATTCTAATTGGAGAGTTTTTGCAGGTAATGTTGCTACATTTGCAAGAAGAGAAATATCCTTCACTCTTTTTGGAGATATTTATATTCGATTTCAATCATTTGACACTCAAGAAGAGTTCATTGCCGAACTCCAAAAGAAATATCCAGTCAAAATGGATTTGGGAGCCGTTTATTATACCAAACCTAAAGATCGTGGACCAGTAGGTACCATGACGCCAGTAGAAAAAGAGATTGTTTTTGATATAGATATGACTGATTATGATGATATTAGAACATGTTGTTCTGGTACTGATGTATGTACAAAATGTTGGAAGTTTATGGCTATTGCTTGTAAGATTCTTGATGCTGCTCTTCGAGAGGATTTTGGTTATGATCATATACTCTGGGTTTTCTCCGGAAGAAGAGGTATTCACTGCTGGATTGCTGATCATCAAGCAAGAAAACTTGATGAAGGTGTAAGATCAGCTATTGCTGATTATTTACAAGTTGTTAAAGGTGGTGCAAATCAAATGAAAAAAGTGCAACTTCCTGGAGAAAAAATACATTCCTCCCTTATGTAAGAAACTAGCAAAAATGATTATGATTTTCTATCATTGTAATATTAACTATTTGTGGTTTCAGTTTTTAGACGGTCATCTGTTGGAATTTATTTCTATTTTCCAACACATGTAAAACTCATGTTTGCATTAAGTATAAAAACACGAACAAACTAACAACTTGTAGTTGTTTCAATATATTTTACAAGATTGTTTTTCAACAATTTTAGAGCAGTTAAGTGCAAAGAAACTCATTGTGTTTGGCCTAGTTGAGGTTACAATCAATGACCATCCCAAGTACTTTTGTTTGTTCATGAAATTCAAGGATTATTTCGTTTGAAGAAATGGTTCTTTCAGAGTGCATTGGCCTACTGAATAAAGTGCATAAAGTTTTATCTTCACAAGCTAACTTTGGCATACAATTATTGACCGAGAATAACATATCTTTCATTAGTATTATGTGTGATGAAGATGATAGTGTCATTAGCTTATAATGAACAGATTATTGTGGTTGTATATGAATTGGACAATTTAGCAAAAATCAATCATAATTTGTTTGTAAACTCATAAAAACGACCTTTTATGGTATGGACATATTTTTTGTTTCTTCCCAAGGATAAGGAAACTGAAGAGTAAGTCATCATTGATCTATGAATCTATGGTAATAAACTAAACGATTCAAGCAAACAATGATATCCTAGTTTGAGATTCAGTGATATTCATCCAACATACTACCATCCACGTTCCTACCTTTCAGAGGGTTAATTTTTTTCTGAACATGAAGAAACATACTAGAGATTTTGTGCTCATGTTTTCCTGGATTTCTGTAAAAAAAATTTTCTGTTAAGTCAAGGAATAGGTGTAATATGGACAAGTTTTCATCCAAAGTAGTACTCTTAAAGTTATAAATGATTTTGTCAATAAGCATTTGATGCAGTTTCTACATCCTTTCCTCGTCAAACAAACAAAGATTCTGTACCAAGTAATTAGCTAGACTGAGAACCTTGCTTATATTGATTTACTTTCAAAATTTTTTAGTTAATGGTAACAGGTTCATTCTGCATAATATATTTTTCTAAGACATTCAAATATGTCATTTGAATGATTTTGAATCCTCTCATTTGTACTTTATGATGTTCCTCTCTGTCCTCATTTGAATTCGCAACTACACTTGAAGTAACGAAGAATTACACATCATCAATAAAATATTTGATAAAACACACACTTTCATGAAACATCCTTCTCTTCTACAACTGGAAAATGAAGACAAAACAGTTCAATATTTGAGTTCAATCAGAGAGCTTGTTTGGGTAATAGCTTGCATTTGGTACATAAGTTCTTAATCATTTCCTCAAAAGTGTTTAAAAAATGTTGAAGATTGCACTTGAAATTCTAAACTACTTTTATTGAAGAATTCATGTCACATTTGTTCAGTGCCCCAACATCACATCTAATTGCTGTAACTTTAAAATATATTTCAACAGATCTAGTTTTTACTGTTTCGAATTTCATATTATTTCTAAAAATACATATTTCTTGGCATTAGCATTTTGGAAATCATTTAATCTAACTAATGAAACCTGATTTTCATGAGCCCAATGCTCAGACACACAAGAAAATGTCGCATTTATTGTCTTCTGAAAAATTTTTCAACTCCAACAATTTGTTACCAAGTCCTTGATTACTTTGAGGAGCTAAAGTAAAAACCTTTGTAATGATAAAATTAAGAATGCTTTCTTTTTCTGAGATGGAATTATTGTTTTGTCAATTTCTACATTTGATTTAATCGTTCTAATTCCATCTATTCACCGTTCAGGCATTCTTCGCTCGTGAGAGGATATGAAAAATGATCTTCTGTGTGGTGTCTTCCTGATTCAGCTTCTTTTAGTTCTGCAGCAAGAAAGTGTTTCCCATATTCTTGGGTCTCATTATCAAATGATTCGACCTCATCCGTTCCTAGGTTAATAGGCATTTGTTCACTTGTTTCTGTATTTCTTTAGACAAAGTGACTTGGGAAAGATTTACATATATACCAATTTCTAGCTATTTTCAAATTTTTATTGTCTCATTGAAAACTCTCTTGGAGTAAATTATTACATTTTACTACAGTTGGTGTCAAGTTGTTATATAGTACTACTTTCAGGAGAGATTGTTACTGTATATTCTACTGTTAATGTATTCAGTATCTTATCTGTAGGGGCTGTATTATGACTAATATATTTGTATCAAATAATGATGAGAAGAGAGGTCTTAATAGAAATTTATGGGTATTATTTGGCCAAATAATTCAAGTAGAGAAATCTTCACTGTCAATTATTGCTGTTATTATAAACTCACCATTCATATAACTCATCTTTAGAAATGATTAAGCACATCCGATCCTGTGTCGATTTAAAAATTGATTTCAGTTTCATCAATCTTTTGTTCCGAGGCATTTTTCCCCTAGACCTCAAAATCATTATTGTCGTTTTTTTCTGTAATTTCATTCGCAATTTTCACTCTACATTCTGCTCACTTCACATGATGATTATAATTACATCATACTTGATTTTGTTTTGTCATCTGTTTTTTCTCATTTGTTGATCAGAATTTATCTTCTTTTTTGCTTGTACATATTCATTCCTATTTTGTAGTGTTTCAATCAGTTTTCTTGTAACTTCTACAGAATGACAAGTTTCTTCCATTGTTTTCAGTAATATATCAGATATGTATTCTTATAATCCTCATACTGGAACATTTAAATGGACAGATATTGAAGTTGGAAAATGAAATATAAAATTTAATGTATTTACAGAATATCAATGGAGTGCTGACAAATTTTATGAAATACGCTCAAATCGTATCTGGGGTAACCCTTTAGTGAATTTAGAAAATAAAAGTAATCCTTTATTGACAGATAATATTGTTCCAAGCAGTAACCATGTCATTTGTTTTTTCATTACTTTGTCGACTTTATCATACACAAAAAATGACACATGTATAATAGAAAGAAAGAAGAAAATCCTCGAAAGAATCAGTTCAGCAACCGAGGATAGGTCTAATGGTACTTTAATTGAAGCAGCGGTCCCTAGACGAGCTTGGTTCTATGTAGGAAAAATCAAAAATATGGAAGCAACACCTGAGATGTAGGAAAATTGGCTCAAAGAGGATAACAAAGACGCCGTTTTTACTGTGGAAAAACTCAAAAACAAAGGAAAGTTCTCATCCTTCAAAATTGGAACACCTATGAATCTGCTGAGTAAATTCGAAAACCCGAATTACTGTCCACCTGGAGTCATAGTAAGACGTTTCAACTTTTTGAAAAACAGAGGAAATGATTTTTTAGATCAGAAGTGAGCTGCCTCGCCAGTTCCAAGAAGCATTTTCAAATTGTATATCAAAACGTGAGGGGCCTGCGTACCAAATTAGAACCCTTCAATAAAAATGTTTCTTGCCAGAACTCAGAAATTAAAATCTTAATATGTTGTGTATACATTCCCAAAATTCAAGACAAGAAGTATACAATGAGCTCATTTTATCTCTAGAAAGTGTTGATGAATTGAATAACTCCGATTTTGTCTACAGTAATATTCCGAAAATAAATGGTGCATCGTTCGGTTTCGAGACCTGCACAGGTAAATGAATATATTGATGACCTCATGAGCAACTATGATCTCTTTTCTGTAAATGATATAACAACTAATTCAAACCACGTCACTCTTGACCTCGTCCTAACAAATTTAGCCGGCACAAGTGTTACAAAGGCAACTTCAAGCCTATATGATGGCATAGACGAGTATCACCCCCCACTAGAAATTGATATTACTTTGATCGGCTCAGAATCTGTGACAAACGAATAAAATATCCCAGAATATATTTATGATTTCCGGAGCGGTGATTACATCAAACTCTATCACCTAGTAAGCCAAATTCAATGGGATGTGTTAGTATCAAAAGATCCGGATGAGTTGGTTGATGCTTTTTACAAAAGATTCTATGGTATCTTTGACGAGAGCTTGCAAAAAAAGGAAATAAAGTTCAATAATAAATTCCCCCACTGGTATAGCGCTGAACTTAGGCAGACAATAAAGGAAAAGAAAAAATACTTTAAAAAATCCAAAAGTGCAACTCCAAAACATGGTGAATACAGAAATAAATTTTGTGAACTTAGACTAAAAGTGAAAGGGAAGCCAATGTAAGCTCTCTCACATACAAACTATTGAAAACAAAATCAGTAAAACCTCTAAAGAATTTTGGAATTACATAAACAATAAAAAAATTATTACAAAATATCTAATTATTTCAGATATAAAGATGAAGTCATTTCTGATGACCAAGATATTGCTTTTGCTGAATATTTTCAATCAGTTTATTGTAATGATTCTCCAGGTGGTACCAATCTCTCTCTAGAGATCAACCTGCGAGAATTATGTATATCATCAATTTCCGAACAAGATGTAAAGCAGTTGGATCCCTGAAACCCAAAACATCAACTGGAGTTGACGGTATTCCATCTTACTTTTACCAAGGTTATATGGCAAACCTAAAAAGACCTCTGAATATAATCTTCAATAGCGTTGTTGAAAGTAATGTGTTTCCAAAACAACTCAAAATGGGACGAATAATTCCTATCCATAAATCTGGCAATCAAAATCTCATAACAAACTATAGGCCGATAACAATACTCCCCTCATTATCAAAAATCTTAGAGAGAGTCTTATATAACAGACTTTATGCGCATGTTGAAGACACTATCTGCAGAGAACAGCACGGTTTTGTTAATAAAAAATCGCCTGTAACAAATCTCATGGTGTTAAGTAATAACTTAACACCCTCGATAAATACTGGAAAACAATTTGATGTAATCTACACAGACCTAGCGAAAGCTTTCAACAAAGTGAACTATGGAGTTCTCATTGCCAAATTAAGGAAATTCCCAATGAATCAATCAATGATAACATTAGTAAAGTCATATCTTTCAGATAGAGATCAATTTGTTGCTTTCGACAATATTCAGACCGACCTCTGGCGTTCCTCAAGGATCAATTCTAGGCTCACTTTTATTTATAAAACAATATAGGTGATTATATAAGACATTCGGTCAGTCGGTAGCCAAGCGGTTCGGCGTAGGTGCTTTGTTCACTCACTCGAATTGACTGCCGTGTTGGTCGGTGGTTCAAGCCCTAGTCTGAACGATCGATCTTCACTTGCTACCGTCCAACCCGTGTTAGGAATCACACGTTAAAAGGTAAGACCTCGTTAATCCTTAGCTCGCACAAGTTTCGACTTCTGAGGGTTGTTGTTCGTAGGGGTGCGACAGCTGGTTAACGGAAAAACAGATTTTAAACAGATTCCAAATTCCTACTCTATGCAGATGATCTTAAACTATACTAAACCATCAACGATGAAAGAGACAGTTAAAACCTTCAGAAAGACTTAGATTCTATCACTCTTTTGTGAGATGAACAACTTAATGTTGAAAGAGGGTGATTGCAAAGTTATGTCTTTTTCACGGAAAAATATTATTACTCCAACAGAATATTCAATAAATGGCACCAAACTGGAAAAAGTTGCTCAAATCAAAGATCTAGGAGTCATATTTAATAGTAACTTCAACTTCAGAAATCACATAGAATATATTGTACATGATGCAAATAGAAAGCGTGGTTTTGTGTTAAGAAACACCACGGATTTCAAATGGGAACTAGGAATTCTTCTATTCAATGCCTTTGTCAGATCAAAGCTCGAATCAGCATTTCATTCAGAGGTGATAAAAAAAATACAGAAGAAATTTCTCAGGTACACCTACTTCAAAAAAAAATAAAGAGTCTTCCTCTATGATCTCCTATAGGACTCAACTAGAACATTTTGACATGTCAACCCTGTCGGATCGTCGAAGCTTGAATGATGTACTATTTATATTCAACATATTTAATCAGATAATAAATGTACCTGAACTCCTCAGTGTGATCAATCTTCATGTTCCTAGTGCTAGTCTAAGAAATCGCAATAGGGTTTTCTATGCAGACACCCGATCAGAGTCTCCACTCAATCGCTGCCTTAGGCAAGTGAATGATCTAGTCGTAAGTCATCAAAGTCTTGATTTTTTTTTGCTGTGATGAATTAGAAATAAGACAGTCGTTTAAAAAAAATGCACCATACATACCTGTTTTTATTAATGTTTCTCTTGTACGTAATTTTATATTCATATCATATAATCATATATTTTATGTACCATGACATTGACTGTATACATGTAATCGGGTGTAAACCTGTTTGGAATGCAGTTTAAATAACATCTATCTATCTCTCTATTTTTTGTTACTGCTAGTACATTCAATGTATTCATAAATGATAGTCAATCTTGCTTAACACATATTTTCTATGCAATGCAAATGACCTGAAAATCTAAATTTTTGGTTCTATATAATAAAATTTTGTTATTTCTAGGAGAGCCCTTTCAATTATTGACAAATATTTTCTCAATGATATTGTCAGAGATCAAGATATTTTAGGAACAGATGAAAGACTCAATAATTTTTTACAAATAATAGATCAAGATTTGAGACCAACGTTCAAATCGTCTATGAAAAGAGCTGAAAGTTCACTAGATAGATGGAATATTTTCGAGGAAACATTTGTAGATCTATTACGAAAGGTAAGAAACTGACAAAATGGTTAAGAATTTTGCGGCCGGCGTTTTTAGTGTCACTATTTTTCGGGTTCGAAGGCTGTGGATTTTTGGATTTTTTTCCTGACGTTTCCCTGTGCTAGTAGCTAGCTTCTTCAGAGATTTATACATTTTGGATTACAATTTGTTACTATTCGTAACGTGTATTTATGCTTTGTCAGGTAGTTTGGAGTGCTAATACCTGTATCTGGATCAGGTAATCAGGGATCAGGAAGAAATTCCAAAAATCCACGGCCTTCGAACCCGAAAAATAGTGACACTAAGGTAAGAAATTATGAAATTTTTAAAAAACTTTTAGGTCATTACTACAATGAAATTTAAATATTGTCTATGGGAAAAATGATCATTTTAAGTACTTACTATAAAAATATTTTGTTTTTTCATTCCCAGTTTGATGTGTTTTCTTTTAACATTAAAATCCATTTCAGAATCAGATTCCAAAAAATTTAAGGAACCTTCGAGAAGAAATTAAACTACAATATTCATACCCAAGACTTGATATCAATGTTACCAAAGGTCTAAACCATTTATTGAAAGCACCATTTTGTGTTCATCCAAAAAGTGGTAAAGTTTCTGTACCTTTCAATCCAAAATTGGTAGATAATTTTGATCCAGGAAATGTTCCAACTTTAAAGTAAGTTCATAAATGTGACTAATTGATTAATAGTTTGATGTAGAGTCAGCATATATGTTTTCATTTTCAGTTTACTCATTGATGAAATAAATGCTTACGATGAAAAAACAAAAGAACAAGAAAAATCTCTAATGGAAATGGAAACTGAAACAACTCAAAAACTCAAAATCAAAGACTACAAGAAAACCAGCCTCTTAAAACCTGTTAGTATTTTCGAAGAATTTCTCAGGCCACTGGAAAAAGCTGAGAGACTTAAGAGAAATGAAAATGGTATGTTAACATTAAATAACATTGAGATTTTAATATATGTCAATTTCAGATGCTTCAATGGAATTTTGAATGGAAACAGAAGATGCGATCTGGAAACTTTTCAAGTATTTTATGTGTATATAAGTTCTCATGTTGAATAATAATAATTTCAATATTAAGATTTTGATAAACTTATCTTTTATTGTTCTCATCTCGAGCACTCCTTCTACAATTGATAAAGAGTGGAAATAACCAAAAAAGTTATATCATAATTAGCTTTCTATTATTTATTTACATATTGTCCTTGTAATTGTCTTCTTGCCTTTTATACATTTGTGTAAATTTTACGTGGTAAAACTTCATTTTAGATATATTCTGGGCCCAAAAACTGACTGAAAGCAATTTGTATTGGACACTTGAATGTTCATTGGTTTTATATTTTTAAGGATCATTTAAAAATTAAAAATTATTTCACTTCAAAACCTTATTTGTTTAAACAGGGCATTTCTCCTAAACTTTCCCCACAGAAAATCTACAGAACTAGAGAAGAAATTTCAATTGTGTAAACGCTTGTGGGTTAACAAGAATGACAACTTCAACTTATCATCACAGTCAATTCAATTTTTTTTATATCAAATATGGCAAAAATTTTCAAATATGGATAGGGTATCAAATTTAGAATAGTTTTCATCATTTGAGCTTTTTTCTAGAGAGATATTGAGACAATTTTCATCAGTATCTTGTCATGTAATATACCAAGTAAGAAACAGAAAAAAATCATTGTCAAAGTACTCCTAACCATCTACGTTACCCATGATATCTCATTAAATGTTCAAATTGCCGTCCATCATTCCTTAAACACATATTCCCTTTTGCAATCGTTTTTTATGTCAATTTTCCAGCATTTGTGGAGATATAGCCAATAAGCCCTGCTTATTGTTTCTTTCACGTTGACAATATTGCCAAAATCTGAGCTGAATATCTGGTCTTCAATGAAGCATCACAATGAAACCTCCAGAAGGGTCAGGTCAGGTGTACGTGGTTTGCTACAGCTCTGGCTCTGGGAATGAGTTCTTACCAATAAATAAAAAAAATTGGCCTACGAGCAGTGGTACTGTCACTGCTGACCACTGCTGGTTCTCCGAGCCAGATCTGAAGTCTTTCTCAGAAACATCAAAACAAATTGATAATCTTCTCAATAACAATCTAATATCAACACTATCTAGAAATAATTGGTTCAATTGAGTTACATAAAATGTAAAATACAGTTCACATTCCGGTTGAGGTCTAATGAAATTGCTGATACATGAATCATGATTGTGTAAACTGGACTGCTTGGGAAACAAGGGAACCCTTTTGTGAATGAATAGGCTTGAGAAAACATTCAAAGAAGGTACCGGCATATTTCATGAATGATGAATGATTTACGGCAAGAATCCTTAAAACCGATTCCAGCAAGAATTCTCAGAGCTTTTTTCTGTAATATAAAAATGCATTGTGCATCACTAGAATTTCCCCAAAGTTAAATTCCATAAGAAATGTGAGACTGTATGAATGAGCAAAATACTATTTTCAAGATAGTGAAATTTGTTATTGGTTTCAGCTGCCTAGGTAAACTTGAAATGTGGCTTGGCCAATTTAGCCTATTGTCCAGAGTAAACCCCAATAACTTGACACACTGGAATTCAGGTAATGGCGGAGCCATAGAAACAATCATGTTTTGTGATTTTTCCTTATTCATCATGAGTTTATTAACACTGAACTAGTGCTCCGCTTTTTCTTGTATTTCCATAGATTTGTCAACAAGAGCTGAATAATTCATAGAAGAGTATATCAAGGATGCATCGTCAGCAAATAGTACACTGTAGCATGGCTTCATATAGTTGTAAAAATATTGATGTAAATAACAAATGAAAGCAGGCCAAAAACCGATCCCTGCGGTACACCTAGGTCAATCGGTCTCACCTTGAAAAATGTATCATTAGAAAAAACTATCTGGAAACGATTATTCAAGTAAGTTTCAATCAAACCAAAGAAGTACCTTTTACACCATAATACGACAGTTTCTCAAGTATAATACTGTAAGAAACATAGTCAAAGGCCTTTGACAAGTCCAATAATGTGACCCCCACAACCTTCCCGATCTCGCGTCCCTCAACTATGACAACACTCATAGTAGCATCGGTGGTACACGAACACCAAATTTATAACTGCAAAAAAAGTTGTTGATTTCGAAATATTTGGTGAGTCTTTTCTTAATTAATTTTTCAATGATATATCAGCCTATATCCAAAAAACTACCTAACTTCAATCATGAGAAGGTTCTTTTAGATTGTCTTGTACCTAAATAGTTCATACAAGTATTTCAACAATGAGTTACAGATACAGGGATTAAATTATTTTAGACTGTGCCACCCTCTATAAAATCCTGACTGTAACAGTAGTGACCACTTAATAGGACCATTCATTCATCATCCTGGCAGAGTCGTATTGAGAAAATCTCTGCAAATAATTCTGCAATGTGGCGGAGCTATATTATGTTGGAAATATTGATATTTTCTCAATATATTCAAAGGCAAATCTTCCAACAACTCAACTAGAGTCTCCTACAAGAATTCCTAATATAATTCCCCTGTCATAGATGTCTCAAGAAAGTAGGGACCCATAGCCAAATATCAACTACAAATCTCACTTGAAAATTTGTAGCTCTATTTCTCTTAAACCATTTGTTATTTGTGGATCGACTCTCTTCATACCATAACATATGTTATGTTATCCTGAAGATGTTCTCTGAGTAGCCATCTAAAAAATATATTCTCCTATCATAGTCTGTTAAACGCAAATGGTGGAATTTTCTGACTTTGTAAGGTCTAAATATTTCTTCTCAAAATTTTCCGAACTGACATATTTGATATAGCACTATTATGTGCAATATCTCTCAATGTACTTCTTTATTCTCATTTTTTCGGTATTCCACAACTCCTGGTTCGACTAAATATCATTTTGTTATTACTGAGAATGTCTTCTGAACTTACCCAAAATACCAATTTGAGTATCGCTACCTCTTTTAGTAACTGTACAACTCTTACTCGAGGGTTTTTCAAATGAACCATGATTCCGTAAACATCTCTCAATTATTTGAAAATATCTTTTGTATGTCTGACGTCTCTCAGGATACAATTCCCCACACAAAGCAGTAAATTTAAAAATTATACATATTCTGTTAATGAATGGCTCACGTTAAACAAATTCGTTTCAGTACTCTCATTAATTTTTTCTCCACTATTTTTTCTTGCCAGAAAACGTCAGAAACAAACATTCATGTTCCATAAAATTTGGTTTTTGAACAGTTATTCCATATTTATACAAAACCCCTGGAATTTTCAAATGATGTTTGGGGTTCTAAGAGAATGGTATCTACCTATATTTGATGGAATCGGCCGATGTTTGATGTAGATCCATAAGATATTCAAAAAACACTTTGCGAGATTTTCATTAAACAGTTTTACAAAAACAACACGTGTTTCGCCATACAATGGCTTCTTCAGGCGTGTCTTTACACGGTTTCTACCTTTTTGAGACTACACAAATATGGATGTTTTTTCAAAAACAAACGTTGGGAAACATATTCTAATACATAGTTGAATTTTTTATTACAGTGACAACAAAAATCGATGAAAAGAACTAGAGGTCCGTATAAAAAAAATAAAGTTGATGAAATCTAATGAACAAAACATCACATTGAAAATTGGTTCATATCAGATCATCACAAATGTGAAACAGTACTGAAAGTTCCTGTCTTTTGCCTATCATTCGAAATGGAGGCCAAAGAACCAAAGAAATTTGACAATTCTCCAAAATAGAAAACTTTTGTCTAAGTGAACCGGTCTTGTAGGTCTTATACTATTTAAGAAAGAAATACTGGGATCAACTATAATAATGACCTGTATATAACGACCTGTAAACAAACAATACAATGAAAATTCTGAATAAACTCACCAAAGTTAAATTGAACGTTGAAGAACTGAAGATACCAGATGTGGTTTAACCGGGACTTCAGATTGCCGACTGCAGAAACACCTTGTGGTGTTTGTGTTGTGTGTGGATGGTGCGTGTCTCATAGAAACACCCGTCTTCCGTAAATATTGGAATAGAACTTTATAAATTTCAGGATGGTTATACCGGCGACGAGTCTCAATCTTGTCTAGGGTTGATTCAGAGACATACACTGCTTGTTGTGGTGATGGAATCACCCAGTTTTGCGAAAAATAGTATCAAGGAACAATATAAGCTCAAAATTCCAAGGGATTCAGAATGGACATCAATTTTACTACCAATACAGATTTACACTGAAAAATTTTCGGTTCTGAAACAATTTTACAGCTCTCTAGTCAATTTGGATTTGAGGATTTTAGCTCTACAGTTGATCCTCACATCTCATCACATTTTGTCATCTTACCTTTCAAAATATATTATTTGTAGTTTTTAATAATAATGAAATTTCCTTCAATGAAAAACAAAACATGTTTAGTTAATACATTTATTTATAAAACCAATTTTACATCTGGCACAGATGAATCACAAAATTGTTACTTTGTTCAAATACAAAAAAATGTGTAAAGGCAGTAGGAATAGGAAATTTCCTTAACCTCCCAATAGTTGCTCCCACTCTGTAAAATGAGGTGGCACTGCATTTATCATTTACTGGAAACTCAATTCTTCTTTGTAACATATAAGGGTCAGTTTTGCCAGTAGGGCTTTTGTTTTCTAAAGATTACAGCGAAAACTGATCTATGACACTGAGATGACTATTGGGGCATATTTTTATTCTTAGCAAATAAATTATGAAAAAAAATATTCATTAAGGCAAACTTCTTTTTCTTTGCACTCGTTTGAAATTCCTTCAAGATATAAGCTGTCACTGTAAAGATGAAACGGGCTGAGACTTTGTTAATAGAGTTAATAAATGATGACAGTGTTCTGCTATAAAATCCAATGGTGAAGAATAGGATCATAAAGAAATAGACCTGAAGTGAATTGCAGAACAGTATTTTAACCAGAGTGAAATGTAATTTTTCTGAAAACAAATGCACATTCTGAGATTAGAACATGAATATGCAAATAAAGAGGTTACCAATCCTGCTTATTAACGAGTGCAATCAGATTTTAAAAATGCTTTTCAATCAATTTGTAACAAAAAGTTCCAAAATTCAAAATGATATTTTGATTTTTGTGCAACTGATTGGATTAAAAATGAACGTTTCCAAACGATCATTCAATAGGTATATAATTGATCCTTGCAGCCCAAATTGTAATCTAATCATTAAAAATAAATGAATAAGTGAACCCTGGTTTGCCAGACAGTACAACAGTACATCAGTGTAATAAAATTTAGTGTAACTACTGAAGAGATAAAAAAACAAAACGAATTCATTGACAGTTTTTGAAATAATATTGTACTCACTGTATATTGTGTGTGTTAATTATATAATAAAGTTATAACACATGTCTATTTTGATGTATCAAGAAAAAGACATTTCAATACCTAAAAGTGAGAATTGGAAACGAAAAAGATACTATTAAAAAATTGATAGAAGTAAGTTTAAGTGTCTCCAAGTTTATTATTACGGAATAGTCCAAGAGTGTATTGTTGCTTAGTGAAACAGAAATAACCATTGATGAAAATTATGTGTATTATTACTGTGAGAATAAAGTACTATTTGTTTTACACAGTTGAAACACACTTTATTGTAGAGTAAATAATTATATGAAAAATAGGTGAAATATTTAGAGAGATGGAACTGAATGGTCCATTAAATCTTTCAGAAGGGATCCCGCCATCCTGAAACAAAAATAAATTATGAAAAATTATAATGAAGATATGCAAGCAAATTCCAAATTTTGTAATGATATGTAATTTCTGTAGTTCCAGAACCAGTTTGTCATTTAATTTTGAAATATAATGATCAAATTATATACATACTTTTTCACCATATGGTCATACAGGAAACTAGGGATCACAGTAATAGTGACCACTTGTCCGGCATTTTCAATGATACTGCTTATTTGTTTATCTTTCAACCCAATTACATTTTGACCATCTACTTCCAGCAACTGATGATCTGTGAGGACACCATTTCTAGCAGCAGAAGAGTCTTTAACAATAGCAGTTATTTTTCCATTCTTGAATTGAAAACCAATGCAACCAACACTATCTTTGTGCAATGTAATTGTACGTTCAAATGGTCTATCTCGTACGATCACTTTAATACCATTAACTGGACTTTTCTTGAATAAATCGTGAACCTGTAAGAGAATTTTTCATCAAATATTTTTGTAACTCGTCATAATTTCGAAGTAAAACTGATGAAATTATGGTTAACTCCTTAGGTTTGGCAATTTTTTCACTAAATCTTCAAAATCATATAAAATGAATATAGTAGAGAAACACTGATAATTGTAGAGGTTTCTAATAATAATAATATTGAAAACATCGATATAAAATATTCAGACGACACTAAGTTTCTACGACTTCATATAGATGAATTCTTGAAATGGAACAAACACATTGATACATCTAAAAAATTGGGCAAAATTTCAAATGGACTAAGAGTGGTTCCTAAACATCTCAACGAACAATCAGTAAAAATTTAATACTTTGCCAATTTTGAGCCTGTAGCTATATATGTGATCATATTTTGGGAAAGCAATAGTAATACTGAAAGAAATATTTGTTATTCAAATCATGTACATATGTTTTCAAGAATAATGGAATAATGATATATGCCCTTTACATTAATGAGTGCTTAATGTTTCTGATAAAAACAGAGACCTATTCTTTAACAATATTCATCAACATTGAAAAACTGTTTCCTCGTTATGTGGCAATAAAGCTGTATAATAAATTGCCTAATCAAATCAACGATTTGGGAGGCAAAAATGAATCCAAAAAAGAAATAAAAACGCTGTTAATAGAATCAGAACCATATAGAGTTGGTGACTATTTGAACCGTACTGAATTTGTAATTTCATAGAAATGTTTATAATTATGGGTATATACAGTGATTGTATGCCTTTAGGTTTGCATATATGTTGTTTTATGACATTATGTCATTCATGTTGTCTGTGGACAAGTTGTAATAGCTGGCATATTTTTGAAATAAAGATTATTGTTACTATTATTATTATTATGACCTCACATGCAATCATTGTATACAGACATTATTAATCATTAGAAATCATATGAATATGATAATACCAGAATAAAAAATAACTGAGTTGTTAGACACACAAGACTTAAAAAAACCCAAGCAAGATAGAAATCTTCTGCAAGTATAACAGTTTCCCATCTCAATTACGAAACTTGCCTTCAACCTTTACAAAAACAGACTGAAAAATGTCTTTGTGACCACTGACTGTATAGTATTGATGATTTTACACACTGATGAGCAAGAACAAATGTGCTTTTTTGTAAATATTTTCGTTTTAATGTGATGTAATTTTAATTGTAAGTTATATCAATGATTTTTTTTTACCTTTATGTATTGATATGTTCATAAATTTATATTTCAATAGGAGTGAATAAATACCATGATCTTACAATAAATTTCGAATTCATTTACTCAATGTTATTATTGTAATTTTTCAAAACTCACGCTATATAAAAAGTAAATTAAGATACCCAAATGGAAGAATTGAACACTATGACACAAGCATTCATTGCTTAGGTATGTTCTATGCTTCTTTTGTGTTTACGATGTATTTTCTTTATAGTAGATATTGTACCACCAAAACATTAATTATTTCAACATTTTTGAAGAAAAATAAATAAAAAAAATCATCACCATTAATACTATTATAAATATTAGTAAAAAAAAACTCAATCACAAACTGTCAATGACAGTTGTCCTTTGTCCCATCTTACATGATATTTTTAACTATCTGGAGAAGTGAGGAACATGAGGAATATTCTGGAATAGATTGCTAGGAATCGTATGTTAAAAAAAGACCTTGTTAATCATTAGCTCACACAACTTTTAGACTTTCAGCCTAAAATTGATGACTTTTTATGACTTGGAACTCTTAAATCTCGTGTTGTATAAAGATTTAAGGAATTCCTTTTTGAAGGCTTAGGAATGAGTCGTTGAAATATTGTATGAAGAATCTGTTTAAAAAAAATCTGTTCAAAATCTGTTTTTCCGTTAACCAGCTGTCACACCCCTACGAACGACAACCCTCAGAAGTCGAAACTTGTGCGAGCTAAGGATTAACGGGGTCTCACCTTTCAACGTGTGATTCCTAACAAAATATTTTATGAAATATTGTTTCATTTGGATGGTGGAATAAAACTGTTTTCATTTATTGTACTTTGTGACTTAACTCCTAACTTATGAAAAATGTTATAGTATTTCACTCATCAATTCATTTAAAGCGATTTAGAAGGTTTCCTAAAAAGTTCATCAGAGTTACTGTATTAACTTCAACGATGAATAAAATATTTATATTTCTGACTCTATAGATTTAATTCGGCCCAGCTGAATTCCCAAACTTAATCAAATCAAAAAGAAAATTTGAACTCACTTTATCCATAGTATATCCAGCAACATTCTCATTATTTATCTGCAAAATTTGATCGCCAAATCGTAGTCCCGCTAAAGCTGCTGGTGATTTCTCGACAACAACACTAACAAAAATTCCTTTGTTAATTGCTTTAACGCGAACACCTACTTTTCCATCCTTGTCTTTACAAAGAATAAGCTCACGAATACCATGAGTTACCTCTGCCCTATGGAGGCCTACAGATTGGCCAGATACTGGAGCAATAAGGCCAGTGGCTGTTGTTTGAGGCAAAAACAGTTCCCTCTGAAAAAACAGAATATGTTCACTTAAAAACAACTCGACTCCTAATATTTCAAAGGCAGTATGATAATATGCAAAAATAATGTTATAGGTTGATCTTTACTTCTACAGGTCACCTTTTTCATCTGAGACCAAAAACAGTAAGACCTACAAGGTTGGTTAAATGGAACAAATATTGACTGCAACATATTGATTTTCTCCGATTGAAATAGTAATAATAATAACATTTATTTTATCATAAAGTCTTACAATTTTCTGATTGATTCAGCCGTTACTTGATGAAAACCCACAGTAATTTCATAAACTACACCTCACGATTTGATCTCTACAAACTTTGTGGAGATGAAATCGTGAGGTGTAGTTTATGAAAAAATCTTACGATATATAATAATAATCGTTTATTTAGCACAAGGCTAATTCACATTAAAAATACAAAACATTGTACATACATAAAACTTCACAATGGATGAAAACAAAAAAGTGAAAACATTTTTGTCACATCACATGTCATTCGAAGGAACAGACATCAAGATTCATAAAATACAAGTTTAAATTTAATTAAAAGTCTGTTTCAACAATCCCAGTGAGAAAAAAATCAAATTTTGACTTGAATATATTAAGATTTCTTGAAATTTTCATATCAGTGGGTAGTTCCTTGTGGGTATTCAGGCCTCTTGAAAAAAAGGCCTCTAGGCCCTACTCAAACTTTGAGTAGAGGCTTGAAGATGATCTCACAGCACAGATATATATTCCTCAAAATTCCTCAAGACACTCTCAACCTCATCAGCCACTGCATATCAAGCATCTACTTTCTTTCCCAGAGCAAATTTCACAAACAAGTGAATGACATCTTCAACGGTTCTCCACTCTCTTCTCCATACTCCATACATTCCGACCTTCTCCTTCTCACACACTGTTTACCGAAAATCAACCCCAACCAATCGCTACATCAATGCTAAGTCCCACAATAGATCCAAGGCACTAGGCAAACTCAAATCTGTCCTTTGCCAAAACAACTATTCTAAATCCAAAAACCTATCCAACTTCAGCAATCCGGTACAAGGCATGATATAAGACTAGTATTCACAGCCAACAATCAAATTTCTACTTTTCTATAAACACCTAAGGATACTATACCCAATAAGACACAGGGCATATACAAAATACCATGTTCCACCTGCTTCAGAACTTACATCATCCAGATCAACAGAATATTCTCCAACAGAGCCTACAGTCATGGGCTTGGTGTTCATGAAATATACCCTTCGTCCTTGCAGTTCATGCACATACTGATGATGTCTACCGCAGTAGCAGACGTTTAGTAGTACAAGTTCCATTCAACCATGGCCTACCAGCTTGGATATTGTTTTCCCAAAGGCGTTAAGAATAAATGATATGAGTTTGGATTCAAAACAAATATTGCAAAAGGATATTGAAATTGACTCTTATCTTCTCTATTTTTTCAATGTTGAAAAAAATTGCTATCTTCAACCAGAGTTGTCTTCATAAAGTTCTTGCAGTGATTCTTGCAGTCACAAGTAGAAGTAGAGTACCAATATTTGTCTTCGTTACAACTTTTAACTGAAGATTTACATACGATACTCTTTTGTAATGACACTTCTTATTCACTACTGAAACCTTTCCAAAAACTTTCTTACTAGTTCTGAAATGTATTTGTGATCTACTAATCGTGAAACGGCTGTGATAACAAAAACAATGATCTGTATAAATTATCTCCAATATCTAAAAAATGTAATGGTTGGAAAATGTAAAAGACTTTTCGAATACGAATTTATTGTTCGAATTTCTGCCCTTGTAATATTTGAGAGAGATCATTTTTAAATAAATGTCAAATATTAAGATCAAATTGAACACACATCATTTTTGTGGAGGAATCAGTGGTATTTTGTTAAGCTTCTTCAGGACTGAACTCTTCGCCTTCAACAATCTGAACGGAGAACTTTATAGGTTTAGAAAGAGTTAGACTTCTAGTTTACCAAGATACATTACTGCTGAAATTCAATAGATTTTTCCTAAAGAAAATGTGCTTGTTATCTGTAACTTGTCATATTTAATAATGTTGCCTATCAAATGAAAGAGTTGAGAATTTTTTAGAGTAAGTATGTTGCCACCTCATAGACTGAAAGAAGGTAAGAAAAAATCAAGTAGGTTAAAAGTTTTCATCATGGTATGACTCATATCATTTGAAGTGATAGCATCTTAGAAAGATATTACTTCATTTACCAAAACAACAGTGAATTTGTGAAAAATCAGCATCCCTGAAAAATCAAGAGGAGTTACCTGTTGTAAAGAAGCCACTTGTAAATATTCTGGCATATTTTCTGCAATAATGGCTTGACTCAGTTCTAGCCCCATGAATTCACCCAAAGCAGGATATAGTTCTCTATTATTAGCTGGAACTGGCATTGTATTGAAGGATGGATAAGGGGAAGATAGTGGAGCACTAGCAGTGCTTTCGGAAAAAGACTGTGGCTGCATTTGGCCAAGCTGTGCCTTATACATCTGGTCCACTTTCATGTCCTCCAAGCTTGGATAAAGGGACATTTTTGTAAATTTTCTATTTAACTTCTCCTACCAATTATTCTCTACACCTGAATTGGTTCTAGTACCTAACCTTTGATGACAATTAAAAATGTGTGACTCACAACTCTCAAAAACAAAGCCGTGGCGATAATGATATATCTTATCACCTATGATATCAACGCAACCACAGTAAACAATAACATCCAAACGTTACCAAATTCAAGAATTCCAAAGATACAAGTCACAACTCACAAATTGGACTGACATTAGAAAGAGAAGATTTAGAACAACATTATTGGAAAAGAATGGAATACTTAAAAGTCATTTGTCTCGTACTAAATATTATTGTTAAAGATGAAATAATTCAAGTCATATTTTATCTCATCTTTCATAGTCTCTCCTTCTCTAATGCAGTCGCAAAGATATCAAATCAAATAATTAAATAGCAAAGTGACGGGCATCCCAGCCCTTATAATAACAATGTCTGTGATCAAAACTCAGAAAGGGCGCAAGAAGGCTTAACAAGAAAGTTCCTTTCTTTCTTGCTAAATTAAAAAGTTTAGCCTTCTTGGGAATAGTGTTCCGGGGATTTTCCATAATCAAAGGTCCTTCTGAAGCGAATACGGTGTTGTCACAGCTCAACTGTCAAATAGGGAACACGCATATAAATTTTATAATTTTTTCATTTCATCAAGTGCATTACCCGAAATGAAACTGTGAAAACTGATAGGAATCACAAATAGAACTTCACTTTTGTCATAATACAAAATTGAAAATGAAAAATAGAAAATGCACAGGTTAAAAAAAGTATTCAGCATTGTCTGGTGGACAAATGTATCATTAGTTGGGTAGTTTCAATTTTTCACAGGAAGAACGTTTCAGTTGTCAAAAATTTATTATCTGGAACATTCTAGGAACTTTTATTATTATAATTCTTGAAGTAGTTTTTGTATTATTGTTGGTAATTCATCATGAATGACGTCGATTGAACTATTATTGATAATTAATTATGGTTGTAGTCATGGGCGCCGCCAGGACTTATTCAGGAAGGTGCATCTCTGCATCTACCACATACTATAAACCAATATAAAATATAGAAGAATATATATGTATAGCATGCGGATAACAGAGTTGCGAGTATTGAATATTTTTTCTAATGCATTGTGCTTTCATTGCCAAATATTACTTGATTTAGTAATTGTAGTATGAAATAATATTGAGTATCTACTTTTTATTTTCAATAATCCCAAATATTGTTATATTTTGCAATACATTTTGTGATAATGAGGAGAAATATTATGTACTTTTCATTTTCATTCCACATAGTTGCTAATTCTAAATATTATTCATTTCATATTTGGAAGAAATTAAAGTACAGAATGCATTATAATTTTAGTAGATTTCATAGAAATCTAATTTTTGTATTTCTCCTCATGACGCAACTTTCTGATTCACTTCATCGAGCTGAATGAGAAAATACATATGATTCATTTCACATACTACCCCGGAAACGATTTCATCTTGTGAAGATCAAATCGTTTCCGGCAAAAAATAATTTATACATATCGTATCAAATTCAAAACGAATTGATTGAAATTAGTTCCGATGTTCTTAAGAGAAAAATATTTGAGGAGGTGAAGCATGCTTCGGCTTTTTAGGTTTTAGGTCATTAGACTGCTGTTATTAGTGGCACAGAACAATTATCAATTGGTGTTCGACATCTACGTTATGATAACAATAACAATAATTTGTGAAGAATTTTTCAGGTAGATTTATTATTTAGGTAGACGAATAGGTACTAGGTTATAGTATATAATGGTGTAATTTAGAAGTAACTCTCACTTATGCTTGAAGAAGCTATTGTATAGCGATACACGTGTCGCGGTTTTTGTAAAACCCTTATAGTGAAAATCATACAATAAACTGTATTGATTAGTTTTTCAATTTGGATTTTCATCAAGTATCGGCCAGTTCTATTCAATTATTGTGAAGAATTCCTGGAATATGTACCGGTACTAGAACTAAAGGCACAAGCCTGAATACTGTCAGTGTAGTGAGAAATACTGCTGAAACTACAAAAGACATTATATAAATTTCTTTCGAGAGAGAACATTGCAGCGGAGTACCTAAAATTTCAAATACTCCTACCATTATTTTGTCAAATGCGTTGGACAGCAAATTACAAAAATTACAAATTACTAAAAACTTTTGTACAAGTTTCAGGTGAACTTTTGCAGGACGCACCGGATTTTAAAACAAAAACGAAAGCGAATCAGCTATGCACGACTGCAACTACTCCAACGTACATTGTGACACTTTTAATAATTGCTGCTTTTCTGCCAAACTTGTGCCCGTGTGCAGTCAATTACAGAAAGTAAATATAGATATAAAGGCAATACATACAGGGATACAGACAGACTATTTGAGAAATCACCTGACCATGGTGTGGTACGGTCGTTAACAGCCTCTGAGGGTAACAAGAAATCATCGTAGCGCAGAAGGAGGATAACGTCTTGAAAACTGTACGAGAATGGATTGCCAAAGGAGTGAGGCCAGATTGGCAAGAGATTTCCAAGAACGGCCATGAGCATTTGAGATGACCTACTCACTAGGAAATGGGAAAGCTCGGATGGCAGAACCCACAAATTTCAAATCATCATTCCAAAGACGTGTATCCCAAGTATACTTGAACAGGTCCACGATGGTCGCACTGGAGGGCATTTCGGATTAAACAGAACTCTAGCGAGAGTTCGTGAGAGTTAGGTATTATTGGGTCAATTGCCGTCGAGATGTGGAAGATTGATGTAAGCGCTATGACCTGTGCTCTTCGAGAAAAGGTCCGAAGACAAGGCAAAGGGGAAAGTTGAAGCAGTACCTTCGAGAGAATCGCAGTTGATATTCTGGCACCACACTATGACACATCCGGTAACAAGTACCTTATGGTTGTGATGGACTACTTTTCCAAATGGCCTGAAATACTAGCATTACCCAACCAAGAGGACAAAACGGTGGCAGAAGCCCTGTTGCAGGTCGTAATTGCCAGACACGGAGTACCCTAAGAACTACACTCGGATCAGGGCCGCAACTTCGAATCGGATTTATAGAAGAAAATGATGACTCTGTTGGGAATAAAGAAGACAAGAACAACTCTCCACCCACAGTTCGATGGAATGGTCGAGAAGCATAATTGCACCATCAACTACCTCTCGATGTTTGTCCCCGAAAACCAAATAGACTGGGATAAATTGGTTCTTCTTTTTTTCTTTTTCTGTTGGCTTACAGGAGCTCCCAACATGACACGGCAGGTTACACACCATTCATGTTGTTAACTGGTAGGGAACTAAAGCTTCCGATAGATGTATTGTGTAGCAGTCCTTTCAATGAATCTAAAGAAGTACCTCTTTCAGAGTATGTGAACGACCTGAAGGAGAGACTGAAAATTGTACACAAATTTACCAGAAACAAATTACAGCGGAGAACGATGCAGTGTGGCTCTGCCAACCTCAACGTCGGAAAGGTTTGTGTCCCAAGTTGCAGAGACCATGGAACGACCTTAGCTGGTAACCAAAAAGATAAAAAATCTGGTGTACAGAATCCAATTGTCACCCAGAAGCAAGCCTAAAATTGTCCACATAGAGAGGCTGAGTCCTTACATGGGTCGTGATGTCCCCTCTTGGAATGTTGTTCGGGGCGAACAACCTCAGGAAATGGGGTAGTGTTGTAAATCATGCCCTAAAGAAAATAACGCCGGCCGCCACTGATAGCCATAAACCAATCGTAACGTAGCTAACAGCGCCCGAATGAACGATGGTTGCTGCCGCTCTAGATGTAGCGAGAATAATGCTACCGATTTCGATGGAATTTCGGCGAAATTTTCTAGCGTATTCGATTACGATATAAAAACGCTAGCCACGAGCATATCGACACAGTCTAGTGGAAGCTAAAGTTTAGTACAAGAAGCGATCTAGTAAGACGATAGACATTTGAATAATAGTTGAAGTTTTAGTTGAAGTGTTTGTTGTATTTGATGTGAAATAAAGTTGAGTTTGTTCAGTGTATTCAATTATTGGTCAACCCAAGGGGGAAAACGGAACAGTATTCTTGGCCTTCTCTTCACTTAGGCGCATTTGGTCAAAGGCGGTCAAGTTGAAATTGTCCGCAATAACACATTTCATAAAAAGTTCTTATTGAATTATTCATTATTTACTTACTGTCGGGAGCTGGATTTCAACGAAATTCGCTAAATGGAATGTAATAAATACTGATTTTCTAACATTTTACAAATGTATCGTTGGTCAATGGCATACCTATATAGACTATATCGAATAAGGATCTTTTTTGAAGTGCATGTTTTTCTTTTGAGTAGGCTATTCTGTGTTAGTTGTCTTATGTAGTTGATGTTTATAGTTCATTTTTGCATATGTTTTCATTGTTGTATTCATTTTTCATCATTTTTTTAAATATTCAGTTGAAGTAGCGTCCTGAACAATCAGTATATAGGTGTATTTCGCTGTTGAAACAAGATTTGAAAAGATGAATTTTGAGTCAAATCAGATTCGCTCACTTTTACAGCTCTTCAATTCAATCCAGAAACGAGAGCATTTTGAACTATAGCTGAACCGACAAATGAATCTAATAATGATGTCGCGAAGTTCTTTGAATTAAATAACTGCAAGTTTATGCTAATTAGTTGCGGATTCTTTACAATGCCGCGACATCGGCAGTCATGATAGATTTTTGGTGATTGCAAAAACTTTGAGAGTAGCGGACCGGCATCTAGTGCATGTCTGAATATTGTTAATGAGTCGCGGTGTCTTTGTATTGTTTGAAATATCGACACCGACTCAACTAATAAATTAAAACTAATGACGTTAGCCAGCTAGTAACGCATTCACGACGCTTCCTCCCACGGATATATTGGTCACTTTGTTTTTTAAACGAAAATGTCACTTGCGAAATAGTATTTAAACTTTATGGCATTCGATTGATTCACTCGATTCATGGGCGTTTGATTGGTGCAGTCGTTTTGTAAGCATTTTATTGATACAACCTATTGATCTTCATTCAGTTTAGTGGTGCATTCAAATTTGAAATTTAAGTGGAAAGTAGCTACTCAATTGAGAAGTAAAATCCATTAGGCCAGTCAAGTGTTAGTAACCCTTTTTCCGAAATTACAAGAATAGATAAACCTCGATATGTTCACTGTGATTGAAGACCTACGTAAATTGTAATAATGATGTTACTAATGGACACTTCAGTATAGACTATTTCTTGCAAACCACAGAGGAGACTGCCAATATCGCTAAATGGACAATAATATCAATGACATAACTAAAGAAAAATCTCAAGGAACAATTTGGGATTCTGCAATTTCCAGGTCAGTCCTTGAATTTTTGGAATGCCGACAATACCAAGGAGACACCTTCAGAAAATACTTGGCCTTCTGAAAGTAAAAGCCCTAAAATACACGAACTAACTAGGGATGCCACTGTCGACGCAGACTTGCGGCGAAAATTCAACCGTGACTTTACCACCCACCTGCAGAAAAGGAGTAAATGATCATGAAGCAGCAAAGAAGAAAATATTGAAACATGGAACCAACCACAAGACAGACGCAATGAGCATTTTCAATTGAAGATTGCTTCCATTGCAGCAGAAGAAGGCACCCTGCGAGAGAGTGTCCTCGTAAAAGGACATATTTAGACAAGAATCCATACTTTGAATGTGTGATAAAAATCATATAAGTATATTTATTCCTTCCTGCATCCATACTTATTCTAGAAATCATAGTTGTCACTATCTGTCGTATTATATGTTGAAAAATGAGAAATAAAACTTTCTATGTTTTTTCATCACTTGTAGGTACATGAAACTAACATTACTGCAGTTTCGTCCTATTAGGATATTTTCCAACTGATACAATTATTTTGAAAATGTTCTCAAATGACTAATACAATTACATGAAAAATAAAAAATAACACTTTCTATCTTTTTTTACTACTTGTATTTGTAACACGTTACTGCAGATTTGTTTTCTAAGTACATTTTCAAACTAATACAATATATAGCATTTGAAGCGTGAGGAAATTTATTTCAGTTTCTGCAAGTTCTGTTTGGAGTAACCAATGGTTTTTCTTGCTTTCAGTGAGCAATATACAGCGTGACTCACGGTCGATGGTAGGTTAGACGGTTAGACGTTTCTGGAAAACGCAAAGCATGATTTTTCTGAAAATTTCACCTCTCACATTTCCTTACCTGTTCTATTGAACAGGTTCGAACTATCGAACGAAATAAAACACTCCGTATATTAATACATTTTTGGAATCGCTCTGGTATTTTAATACTTTTTTGTTAATAATGTCCTATACCTATCTCTATCTGTTTTCGAGATAAAAAATAAATTGTGCTAAATATGGTACGAAACATAGCCTTAATTGAAATTAAGTACATCAGTACTCTCAATTCATGAAAAGTTGATACTTCGATGATAGTTAGGACAAACTCAAAATATTCAAATAACACCAAGAAATCGACTCCATATCATACAGGACGTGCTAAAATTACTAATATTTCCATTGTGCATAGTAGTCAAAAGTTCATTTTTCAAATGAAACCCGCTGTATATTACTCGGTAAATTGAAAGATGGTGAAAAATGCTTCAAGATGATATATCATGTCCCTATACCTAAATCGTCAAGTTTTCTCAATAAAGTTTTTTGTACGCGACTTGTGGTTGCTTTTTCAATTTCCTGGGGATTCAGATCTTCAATACTCCGCACTATTCGCCGTCGCAATTCTTCTTTGGTAGGTACTGGAGTACTGTATACCCTTTCTTTTAAAACACCCCATAAAAAAGTCAAGTGGCGTGAGATCGGGTGATCTTGGTGGCCAATCCCTCAGCCCTAAACGCCTAAACCAACGATCGTCGAAGAGTTCGTCAAGTTCGTCAACACCACCATCGATAACCCTTTGTAAATTACTTATAAAAGCAACCGAACTGCTATAAGCTTGATAATTCCACTGCTACCTAAATCCAAATACTAAAAAAAAATGTTTCTAGAAGAAGCGACTTCATTGAGAAAACTTGACGATTTAGGTATAGGGATATGATATGATATATCATCTTTCACCATCTTTCAATTTACCGAGTAATATACAGGGGGTTTCATTTGAAAAAATGAACTTTTGACTACTTTTATGCACAATGGAAATAATAGTAATTTTTAGCACGCCCTGTATGATATGGAGTCGATTTCTTGGTGTTATTTGAATATTTCGAGTTTGTCCAAACTATCATCAAAATATCAACTTTTCATGAATTGAGGGTACTGATGTACTTAATTTCAATTAAGGCTATGTTTTGGACCATATTTAGCACAATTTATTTTTTATCTCGAAAACAGATAGAGATAGGTATATGACATTATCAACAAAAAAGTATTAAAATACTAGAGCGATTCCAAAAATGTATTAATATACGGGGTGTTCCATTTAAAAAAATATCATTGCTAGGACTTTTTGATAGAAGTGGCAACGCCGCAATGCTGAAAATATTTTAGATCGATAGAACAGGTAAGGAAATGTGAGAGGTGAAATTTTCAGAAAAATCATGCTCGTTTTCCAGAAACGTCTAACCTACCATCGACCGTGAGTCACGCTGTATACAATCACAGGGAATGAAAGATTTTGCCTACCTAGATAATGTCACTATTTGTGAGAAATAATGACATAACAAAAATCTTCTACGATTCATGAATGTTGTAAAAAATATAATCTCACCATACAAATCAAAATTTTCTCAATAATCAATTGATATTCTAGGGTATAGGTACGATAAAAAATAGAACGATAAAGCCGGGTTGTGAGCGTCTTAAGCCTTTCACAGATTTATCACCAACAATAGATCAGCTTTCTCTTCGAGGAGCCATTGGAATGTTTTTCCATTATGTGAAATGAATTCCAAAATATTCTGAAAATATACAGCTACTCAACGCGAAAGCCATGGTTACGTCCGTTGAAGAAAACGTCCCATTCACAGTTGAAACAGATGCTTCAGATTTTGCAATAGCTACTTTACTGCATTCTATTTGAGAACACTTTTCGAAAGTGAGAAACGGCATTGAGCTGAAGAAAAAAAGCGTATGCCATCATTGAAGCTCTCACAAAATGGAAACATTGGAATGGCCTGTCCCTGATAATATCTGATAACAATTAGATAATGTTCACATTTTTTTTCTATTCTAGACGCGTTTTACTAACACCCTATAGCTTCATCGGTAGTAATAATGGTGAATGAGATATCAAGTAAAATTTGAAAAACAATTACGATCTCAGTTCTTGAACAGAACAGGTCCCAATTCATATTCACATTCAAAATTTACCTGCTTTTCAGAATAATTGTCAATGCGCATATTATTCATAACTTTCAGAAACAAGTGTGATCGAATATGGAGGATGTCAACTTCAAAATTGAAACTTTCAGAAGAGTAATTACTAGTAGATCACCAGTTTATATTTTAAATAATATAGTGATTGCCACTGGTCAAAACTATGTCCGAAACAGTTATCTATTCATGTTCCCCAAGACACTCTTTCAAGGTGCCACATCCACTGAAAAGCAGGATTGATTATGATTTTATCTATGTCTTTTCTTATAAATAAATAATTTTGTTTTGTAGAGTTCTTTCTATAGTATATATTAATCAGGCGAATGGTTAGGATTTCAATAGTTTTGAAAAAGGGACTAATTATTAATCTACCATGTGAAATATCAACAATATGAACAATTGTAGAATTGGCCGCGGTGGTAGTGCGCCCGACTCACGATCGGAAGGCCGTGAGTTCGATTCCCGCCTCGACCAGATATTTTTCTCGAGAGAATTTATCTGGTTGAAGCAGGGATTATTCTGCAACCGTTTTAGGAATCACACGTTAAAAGGTAAGACCTCGTTAGTCCTTAGCTCGAACAAGTTTCTCAACTTCTGAGAGTTGTCGTTCGTTCACGCTGAAAATTATTGTTGGTTTACCTGATAACAAAGATGGAATAATTTAAAATTTATCTTTTTTTGTCAAGGTCATGTGAAGTGTCATAATTAGATTATTTCCATAATTTTGCTAATATTTACCATTTTCAAATACAGCAAATGTCAAATTCCTCTGACTTGTAGGCCTTAATTAATTTAAAATTTTGACTTTAATTTATGGAGCAAACGCACATACAAACATCACGAAACCACTATAAATTTATTTAATTATCCGAATAGCACTAGTATTTCATACAAAGCAATAAAATGATGAAAAAAAATTGAAGGCTAAATAAAGTTTCTCAGCGATGAAACGCTTCTTCCGTGAAGTTAGATGAAACTGATAGTCATGAAATTGAAATTGGTTTTGGTTGAAAATGTATATTTTGTTCTTATATCGATGCATTCAGCACAGAATATTTCAGGAAATAATCTTTACGAATACCACTCGATCTGAAAATTTTCTCAGATTAATGTCAATTTTTCAAGTTAAACCTTAATATTGCTTAATAACAAAGTTTTCAATAAAAAAGGGAAATTTTTTGTTGGAAAACTCTATTTTGGTTACCTAGCCTTCCATATTTTTACTGTTTCATTTCATTGAAAGAAATAATCCATATAATTTCGAGGACTTTCAGTATTACCACAGAATAAAGCTTAACACAAAGTTTATACTTTGAAAATCACCTGGCGGCACTTTAATGTTGAGAAATTTCTGTGACCTTTATTTTGTGTTCGAGGTGTTCAATATCATTTTTGGTGATAAATTCAAATTAGTTGAAACTTATCAGACATATAAGATATATTTGCAGTTGAGGAATTATTACGATGTCTTTGCGGCAAGTTGTTACATTTCAACCAAACTAACGTTATTTTTCCATGTTCATGTTCACTAACAACTCGAAATTTTAAAGTTGACAGTAATCACCTCGAAATTGTTGAAGTTCATGGTTGTGTTCCGTACTGAGTGTCCCTTCTGTAAGATTTTCTGTGGTATTACTTTTGAAAATATATCATGGAATAGGCATTGATGACTGGCAAATTGCTTACGAAGCACAGAAAAAAATAAGAAGAAGAAGAAAAACATCGAATGGCAACCCCGCCTAATGGTAATGATTATTTTGACAAGACGAAAGACTTTGTGGTTCTTATTTTCCCTGTTCTAATTTTTCTATGCAGTATTTTGGTAAAACAATGAAATGAAAAATGATGGGAGATCAGTTTCGTAAAGTCGAACAATATTCTCCCAAATCATCGCCAAGAGGGGGTAGGTCCCCTGTAGTTTCACGTCAGGATTCATCAGGAACATTAAAAACGACAATTTTGCTAGGAAAGAATCCATCAATAGTCCCTAGTGGACCTTTTTATTTGATGAAAGAACCACCTGGTAAATTTTCTCATTATTAAATTCTTGGCATAGTGTAGCAGAATTGTTTCATTTTAGGAGAATCAGAATTAACTGGGGCTACCAATTTGATGACATACTATGGCTTAGAACATTCATATAGCAAGTTTAGTGGAAAAAAACTGAAAGAACAATTGTCTTCTTTTTTACCTACCTTACCTGGCGTTATCGATTCCCCAGGTCAGCAAGACAACAGTTCGCTAAGATCTGTTATAGAAAAACCCCCTATTGGAGGAAAGGAATTGCTACCTTTGTCAAATGTTCAATTAGATGGCTTTAGGTTACATCCAGGTCCCGTAAGTAACTGTTTTTTTTTTCAACTTACTTGCATGACTGCTTATTTTTTTGTCTTCAAAAATATCTTTTTTACACAATGAAAGTGTACAAATCAATATTTTGTGGTTAAAAAACACAATTTTACGAAGAAAAAAAGACTACTTGAGTAATCATCAATGACTATTGCTAAGAAATATTTATTGATAAATTATTATTGCAGCTGCCAGAACAATATCGTTATGCAAATGCAACTCCAATTAAAAAACATAAGAACAAGCATAAAAAGCACAAACATAAAGAAAGTGGATTACCCAGTCAAGAAACTACTGTATCTGACACAAACAGTGAAACACATGAAAAGAAACACAAGAAACAGAAAAGACATGACGAAGAAAAGAGAAAAAGAAAAAAGGAAAAGAAGCGTAAGAAACAAAAGCACAGCCCTGAGCATAGTGCTGGCTTAACTCCTGGCCAGCATTCCAGCTGAAAAACTTGATGATATATCAAATACCATATGCAGTTTAATCTATTTTATTCTATATTTTTAATTTAAAGATTTCCGTGTCTATATCATGAAATGTATTTATGGTTTTTGTCTAAAATATATCTTGTTATTTTTTTGTATCATTTTTCGTAATCACTTATGCAAAGTGTTACTAATTTAAGTGTATATTTACTGGATTACATAACAAGTTGGTAGTTGATTTGTAATATGACAATTTGTAATGGGTCTATAAGCTTTACCACTTTTATTGGTATTATAATCTTGGAGCTTATATACCAAAAGACAAACCATGATTATACCAAAAATTTCATTTCTTTTGAAGTTACTGAGGAAAATACTTAATCTATTTGTGAGAAGCAAACTGACAAAAGTATGTTTTTTAAATGGAACCTCTTTTAATATATATAATGATTAACAATGAAAATTAATGACTGAACAAATTATTATCTAAACATGAAAATTTTCAATTATATTTTGATATGGTACATGTTTTAGGTTACCCTTCGAGAGCAGATAGTTTGTCAAAGATTAATCGCTTGAAAGGTGTCCAACACAAATATCACAACCAAAGGTGGACTAACTAGTATAGTGTTGGATGTCGAGCTTACGGCTCCAACTGACCTCCCTGTAAATTTAGATCAGGAGCGAGTCTACAGAGGAGATGGATGTCGAGTTTACGACTCCAAGTGACCACCCTGTAAATTTAGAGTTCAGGAGCGAGAGCTTCTCAACTCCTGATCCAATAACTGAACCCAAAAAAAAAGTGTGGTGGTGCAGCCAGGAAACGACTGAGTCGTCTCCTCAAGAGCGGGGTACCTTATAAAATTGTCTTGCACCAAATTCTTGAGCAGCGTATGCAGAATCCCTCTCAGGTGGAGGAACAAACCCCTTATGAGAAGGTTAGCAAACGTTTGCGCTCGAGTGATGATTCACCAAAACCAGAGGCGAAAAAGCCCTGCACGGTTGAGTCTCAGGCATCGTCAGGTGTAGCTGGCGTGCAAAAACTCTCATATGGGAAGGTTGTCGCGGATATCACGGTGGGAATTTTGCACCTTGACTATTCGACTACCTCATTAACGATGAAACAGCAGAGCATATATTTTGTGCCTGCCCCGCTGGGGATCGAATCAGGTTTTTAAAGTTCGGCAGAGCCGTACTCTTACCATCTGACCAGAAAGACTACGCACCATACAAACTTATCGGCTTCGTTAAGAAGCTGGGTTTATTTATTTCGTTGAGTGTGAATAGGTGTAAGCCGGTGGAGGGTCGAATTGACCCACTCACTTTGGACCTAACCTAACTAGTATAGTGGAATACTTGAGTTTATAATTTAATATTTTCAAAAAACTATGATTAATATTGTGAGTGGATTGAAAGGGGTATATTTAAGGAGATTAGTTTCTGGAAAAATAGCTTTTTGGCTTTTACATTGTTTTCATACAGAAAATTGTGGGAAACTCCTAGAAGAAAGGAGGCAATTGGGTTCAAAATAAACAGATACTTATGTGTAGATATATGATAGAGAAAATAACTTTTGTCTAATTTCCACTGAGTATTTTATTTGTTACGACGGGTTTCAGTTTATTAAGTCATCCTCAGGTAAGTTTACTCCAGAATGGTCTAATAAATCAAAACCGGCCATAGAAATTGAAAATCTTAGTGGACATTAGACAAGTTTTTTTCTCTATATCCTATATTTGATAAGAATTTCCACAAAATGAATAGGTCATCAATCGAACTAGTTAGTTATATGTGTAGGCCATGCATAGAAGTACTTTCAGATACAAACTGGAAGAAACAACTACTTTCACGTGAACATTGAATCACACGAAAGAAATAAAATACTTTTGAAACAAGTACTTTCATATCGATATTGAATTAAACGAAAATCACTTTTTCTCATTCAGTTTGTAGTACTTCAAACATTCGTTACGGAAGTGAATCAGATATCATTCATAGGAACGATACTAAGTCGATTTACTGGGGTCTGTTTAAAAAATAAGTTGCATGTTCAAATTTCGCGGGCTACGTACATTCGATTAGCGATTTTCTCATGTTGGTACATTTGTCTCAAACATATGTTCACAGTTTCTACTGTTTAGTTTGTTGGTGAAAGGCATAAAAGTTAGAAGTGCTTTGCGTGTTAGACTATTTTCGGCTATCGAAAATAATATATAATAAGAATTTTCATAAAATGAAGTGCTCTTGAAATGTTGACAGTGGCATACGGTGATTGTATTTAGCCAGAAAAATGTTTACAAGTGGTACAAGCTTTTCACAGATCTCGACCTTCACATCTTCGAAGATGTGAATCACGACTCTCCCTGGGCGCCTCATTACATTAACAACCGATGAAAAGTGGAGAAAATTGTTATGGAGAATCGTTGAATCACTATTAGATAAGTTGCCATGCAATTTTTTCGGAAATTTTGGTCATAAAGCGGAAGCGAAGTTCTTTCCAAAATTGCTGAATTTTGTACAAAAACACCGTCGCATGATAATTGCTCAGGATTTGTGTATGACGTCAATGGCGATCTAGATTTGTTTGAAAGAGTCGTAACTGGTGACGAATCATGGGTATATGGTTATGACATCGAAACCAAAGTCCACTATTCGTAGAATAATTAGGGAACAACCAGAAGGTATATGCCATGATACGATATGAAGATTTTCCAGTACGACCGAAATATGCCAATTGGTTCATGGATAAGAAAAAAGAGATTATGACTTTTATTCATCGAGTTTTACTCACTGATGAAGCAGGTTTTAGTTGAGATGGAGTTATCAACTCTCATAATCTCCACATATGGGTCGAAGAAAATCCCCATGTGATATTGCAAACCAAATACCAACGGAAAATCAACGAGAATATTTGGGTTGGTATCATAGGAAACCATTTCATAGGACCATTCGTTCTACATGACCGATTGAATGGCGTTATTTGGAGTTCCTTCAGAACGATATGAATGGACTTTTGGAACATGTTCTATGGCAAACCCGAAGAGATAAGTATGTGGTTTATGCATAATGGCGCTACTCATTTTAGTTTGATTGTGCGGGACCATCTGAACCATACTTTCCACAATAGATGGATTGGTAGAGGTGGGCCATATGCATGACCACCGCGGTCCCTGGATTTAAATCCATTGGATTTCTTTCTGTGGGGGCATCTAAAAAGCCTTGTTTACTCTACACATATTCACACAAGAAATGCCTTGTTGAATAGAATAACATTACATAATTAAGCCATACGAAACGACCCCAGAATGCTATTTCAGGTACAGACTACGAAAATGTATTGAGAGAGAAGTGGATCACATCGAGCAGATTTTGTCGCGGATTTATCATTTCTGTTTGCGATTTATATTTACACCATGAGTTTTGTTAAGTTAAAGTGTTTGCATTATAAAAATGCGATATGAACATCTTACCTATCATTTCTATTTTCATTCTAAATTAATCTTTTCGAAAAATGGTAGACATGTCAGGTTAGATGTCGTTAAACAAAAGTGTATTTTTATCAAAAATCGTTGCTTCGGTCGTTTTTTCATACGAGTACTTTCATTCAGAAAATTATCTAAGTCACCTGATTTTGTTGAAAAATATCTGTCATTTCAAAGTTTTGGGGGTGTGGACCAATCGGGGGTAGTCCGTTCCTGACTTTGTAGAACAACAACTGACTCCTGCATGAAAGCTCATCAAAGCAATTCATTGGTTTAGTCAATCACCAAAATTTGGTTGATTTTGAATATTCGCTTGAAAAGTTATCAAACAAAAACATTTTTCATTTTGTATTTTTGAGTGCCCATAACTTGGTAACGAAGGACTTTAAGAACAAAAGTTATATGAAGTACTGGTGATATTTTGACCCCATGCATCTATACATTTCCGAAAGAAAAAAAAGAAGTTCAGGGACACCCTGTATTTGCGATGTCGTGTTCTTATGGAGCTGATTAACGGAAAAACAGATTTTTTTTAAAACAGATATTGGTCCATATTTTCTTGAAAAAACGTTTTTCATTTTGCTATTTGAAATAGATTCATGTTTGTTCATTTCCTTGTGAAGCAAATCAAATTATATAAAAAAAAAAAATAGTTTTTCAGTACATATTCTTTTTAGCATATCGAGGGACGTAACTATTTTGCAGGTCTGCAGATCAGCAAATTGTCCTCAGTAGACATTGCTCTCGTAATCTTGTAGGACAGATTTCATATCAGATTTGGTACATTTCAGGTGGCAATTTTTTAAGTAAAGAGGATGCATTGGGTTGGGAAATAGGAAATACTACCAACGTTCATAAGTATAAAAATAATTCACTCTTGGTGGCTATATCGCACAAATAAACAAATTAAAATATAAAAATTATATAACAGAAATATATTTTCCATAACAAATAAACCTTAAGAAATTGAATCGTAATATCTCTGAAAGAAATAAAAGTTTTTTTTATGACACACACACGCACAAAAGTCATTGAATATAACGACGGCTTTCTGTAACTTATGCAAGCTTTTTTGTGCATAATAAGATTGAGTACAGCTTGTCACATGTAGGAAGAGCTTTCTAAATTATTTTATGCTCTCGTTCACTAGACGTGCGTTCGTTAATAGTGGGTGAGTGCGACACAGAGAAAGAGAGAGAATTATCAAGTCTCCTCCCAGATTTGAGGAGCTGTATTCGTTTTTAATCGTTTCAAATTTGGACTCTCGCAAAAATTGTGTATCGCTAATAGTTTCAAATATTAGTGAATATTTACCCTCTCTTCTACATCTGTTTCAAAATTACAATGTTCCCACCAATGATTCCTTCGAAAACTGATTTTATATTCAGGCCTTTTGTAATGCTATATATTATATATTATCAAAATATTCTTCACGAAACGCAATAATTTTTTCTGAGTTGCAAAGTAATATTCAATTTGGATTATAGGGTTCTGTGTAAATGTCTGCTGAAATTTTACGGTGGGGTTTGGAAAATTTTTTCTTTCGAAAATGATTAACCTGGTCGAGATTTTTATCTGGGAGAACCGACCTGCAAGAATTTCAGCTGACCTGTGAAATGTACATTCAAATTTTTGAGAATTGTGAACTTTTTGGGTGGGGGGTTGGAAAATGTTTCTGTCGAAAATGATTAACCTGGTCGAGATTCATGTCTGGGAGTTCTGACGTGCAAGTCAAATAAGCGTTAGAATGTTTTATGTACTGTCATCATGACGTGAGCAGATTTGTATAATCTGATGTGTGTTTTTGTCTTCAAAAGTCCAAATAGGAGCTGTTGAGGTTGTGAAAAAAACTTTTTCTATCAAAAACTTCAAGTACACCTTAAAGATGATACATTTACGTGTGAGTGAAATTTTACATCAATTCTCTAGTTTTCCTATGAATGGTATCTGTTTCAATTTGATTACAAATATCTCACGAACAGACTGAAAGAAAAAATTATTTGCACTTGCTGTTCTTCCGGAATGGACGGATGACCTGAGGGCTTTTTGTTATGTACACTACTGGTAGTTGTGAATTTTGATACAAGTTCCCTCAAATATTTTCTACAGATAGGACGATTCGGAAAACGTTAATTGAAAATCCTTTCGGTCTCGTGGAAGTTACGCGTCGCACCGTAAATAAAAATCACTTCAATTTTTTCTTCCAATGGACGAGAATTGACCATTTTAGAGATTGTTGACATGGTACCTTTGTACTAGTAAAACCGAAAACTAAATAATAATATTCTGATTGAATATTCTTGATGAAGATCCATAGTAATTTCAAAAACTACACCTCAACGATTTGATCTCCTCAAACTTTATTTGAAAAATATATCACAACATGTTTCACTAATAAGACATTAGCTTTTTCAAGTGACTCAAGTGACTTGAAAAAGTTAATGTCTTAGCGAAACATGTTGTGTAGTTTTTGAAAACAAATAATAATAATAATGTGTCTTTATTCTGTCAATCTAGGATACATATAGATGTTTATACATTTGGAACATTAATGATCCTAGAGCTGACGTCAAAGGCGAAGTTCAAATTAATAATTCAAAATTACTGATATGTTCTACCACTTAACCTCACACAAGCTTAACATTATGGAATATGCCTATAATACATAATTTGAAAAATAAAACAATAATAGGGACTCTTAACAACTTAGGGATCTGAAATGTATTATTTGATTTATTGCTTCCACAAAACATTCTTATAGTAGTACTTGAAACTAATCACATTATTTTTTTTAATTTCGTTTGGAATACCGTTGTACACGTAGCCAATTTGGTAACTGAAAGACCGTTTAAAGAATTCATGATGGTGAATTGGTGGTGTTAAAATATCTTCAAATCGAATATTGATTGTATGAACATCGATTCAAAATGAAATTTTTTCATATACCTAAGTAAATCGGAATCTTCGTTATTATTATTATGTGAAATAAGCACGCTGCATGCAACCGCTTACGCATTGCCATATTTAACCAACCCGTTTCAACCAATTTATTGGAAATACTTTCTCGCCTTTGAACCCCATGAATGAGACGTAAACATGAATTCTGAATCTTTTGGATTTTTTGCTCATATGCTTTCGTTAAGCAGGGACTGTACACTGAATCAGCAAAATTCAGGGTAGACAAAACTAAACTATCACATAACATTATTTTTGTTGGTTTTGTAAGAAAATTTGTATTTCTATAAATAATCTTAAGAGTTCCATAAGCCTTTTGAATAAGTTTTTTCGCGTGTGTTTCGAATCCTAAATTACTTTCGAGAATAAGTCCCAGACTTTTTGCTTGATCTACAATGGACAGGTTTTTATTAACTTGTGCACAAGCCTTATCAACGTCTTCAGGTTTGAAAGAGATATAGATCTGTGTGTCGTCTGCGTATAAATGAGAAGAACAATGTCCAAGGGAGTCGAGCTGGCTGGTATAAATAGAAAAGAGTAGTGGACTTATTGGCTGCTACTGTCACACTCTGATATCTTCCCCTCAAATAATTATTGGAGAATTCAACACTATCTGCAGATATTCCTATATGATGCAAAATTGACATTAGTACGTCATAGTTTATAGTGTCAAATGCCCTACTAAAATCAAGTATCAGGGCTGTACATAAACCTTTATCTGAAGCTGAGAGAGTATTATCGACTATATGTAGCAAGGCGGTAGTGCAACTATGTCCTCTTCTATATCTAGATTGTGTCGGCGGTAAAATTGATTTTTCATTCAGGTAATTCGTCAGCCGATGACTAACAATTTTTTCTAACACTTTTGACATCCAAGGTAAAATGCTTTTTGCACGAAGAGAATATTATAACTGAACAATGATGCTCACTGTCGTTTTTATAAACAAAAAATAACTTAACAAACCTTAGCGGGTTGTTGGAATTGCCATATGGCAGATAAAAAGGAATATTTATAGAAATATCGATATTAATGTGTTTGTCTTTACGAAATTATTAATTGTTCAGCCATTTTGTAGTAGGTGAAGATATTGACTTCATATTCTAGGCTTGTGAAGTATTCGTCAGGAGCTTCAAAATAATGTGTCACAAGACCCCCTCTTTCCATTTAATGTTTTTCCCCAGATGGCGCCCAGTCACTATCATGATAGTTTCATCTGTCAATTTCACTTCAAAATAAAGTATTCATGCATTAATTTCATTATCCCAAATTTCAATTTTTTGAGTTGACCCGTTCAAATAATAAAAGGGGGGACTTTGAAGAAATGCACTGTATAATAATATTCCAAAGTCTACTATCTGTCAAAACACAAAGTATGATTGAATTTGAACTGTCAGTCAGGAAAGGTGAAAATATTTTCATCAATATATCTGTTTAACCTAAATTTTATTTGTAAACGTGTCAGAAATATAATACTGATCAAAACTGAAATACAGAATATCAACAAAAATATTGAAACAATCGAAAATGGCCGTCCGCTATATGTTTGAGGGTGTAAAGATTATCAGTTAATTTACTCAAGTGCTGACACATTTTAAAAATAATTGAAGTGTAATTTTCGTGGTAATGGAACAAGTTTCAAAGAAGTACCTGAAATTCTTTCTGGATTTTCCATGTATAGTGATTAATCACAAAACAAAATATATAAATTATATTGAAAATGTAACAATAATATTAAATAATTAAAATCAATATCACATTTCACTTATCATCAATCATTACTTTGTAAGTTAATGTTTGGTCAAAACCTATGTAACAGTCACTCATAATCATCAACTTGTACATGAAAGTTCCTGAAAAAAAATAAGTTATTAAAAGTAGATAGAAAAATATGTTTTTCTAACCTTTTCGGGTTGGCATTTGGACAGGCAGACCAATTTTCTTTGTCCTTTTAGAAAATGAAAATTTTCTAAAACTCATTGTATCTTCTTCAACAAATATTAAGAACCAAAATTCTTCCTTTTGTTTATTGAACTTCTTACTACAAACGTTCATCTTGCTGGAACCATCTCTGAACATACTCCACTCAAATATACACTGTTTTCCAGGAGACATTTTAACACACAGAAAGTTTTGCTCATTAGTACAAGAAACTGTAATATTGTCAGTAACATTTTTAACAGATGTTTTGATAGTTAATATTGGTAAATCTTTTAGCATTATCAGAACCTCTTTGGAAGCTTTGGAGCCTAGTAGGTCCATAAGGATGTTATCAAATTTGTTACTGATGCTTTTATCTGATATTAAGGACCTGAGAAGTGGAATGGACAAGTTTTCAACATTTACATTTTGTATATTCAAAAGTTTCGCTTTCAAACATTCAAAAATCTCGAAGTTAATGTACGGTAGCATCATTACATTAGGAGTATTCAATGTTTGTCCTTGAATAAGCATTTGACAGAAATAAACCAATTTTATGGTACAGTTCAACCATTTGCGCCCTGCAGCTAAGTTCATCATTGCCTGAAAAACATAATAATATACAAATATTTTTGACAAAATTGGATATAATTACGTGTATTATCCTTATAACTTGATCTAATACTGATTTCAAGTCAAGAACATATTCTTGATTTGGTAAATTGATATCCAATAAGTAACATTTAATCATCAACAATGTTTTCAGACATGGTGAATCATACGCAAAAGAAGTTCTCAACTCCAATTCCTTCACCAAATCCCTAAAACAAAGTCCACAGTAAAATTTATGAAAATGTACTCAAAATGAACTATTAAACCTGTTAATATTATCCTCATTGTGTCTGACTGGAAGAAGCCTGTACTCCTCAACTTGGCAAATGAGCTCCAGTAATTCCTCTATAGAACTATCTGCCTGCAAATTTTCGCTAAGAAAATATATGGTTTTGTGTGACAGATAATATTGTGCTGCGAGCATCCCCAAAAAAGTTGGTTCGTAAAGAAACTTCATTTCCTAAAATTCAGAATTGACTTATGGACACGGCATGGAGATATTTGATAACATTGAAGAATCCTGTTTTTTTCACTTTCACATTTACAATGATTTGCAATTCAGTTTAATAATTTGTTTACATGACGTTCTCAGATTAGCTTCCACCATGGACTTGAATTTTTTTGCAAATAAATATTGTAAAAAGTACAATCAAAATAGTGCAAAGAAATATACAAAGAATTGAGCTCCAATATACAAAGAGAACAAATTTTTGGGACGTCTAGTTGGAAATCAAAGCCACATCACTACATAGTATAAAACAAAGTTGGTTCCTGCTGTTTGTCCAGATATATGCTCAGATCTTTAAAACTACACAACATATTTCAATTCGAGTTTCTTCAATAGATAGAGTGATTGAAGAGGAGGGTTTATACTGGGTGATTCTCTAAGGTGGCTCACCCCCTATATCTTTTTTATTATTGGAGATAGAAAAACGAAATTGGGGGGTTGTGTGTTACAGTTCAATTTACATTTTTTGACATATTTACTTGCTTTGCCGTACTTCCGGTTTGACCGGAAATGACCCCAACTTTTGATTTTCAAACGGACCATCCTATATATTTTTACTTATTTCGATTGAGAATGACATTCTAAATCCAACAATACTTCACTTGTCAATATCTGACGAATAAAATGGATCATGTAAATCGCTTCATTCTTGATCAAGTAACATGGTAAAACTACGACTTTGAGGCTTATGACTTCACAGTCGTTTTAAGAATTATTTCACAGTCGCAGGTATGAGTTTTTCCAGTAAACTTGATTTTTTTAAAGGAAAGGGGGTGGCTCGTCGGCTTTTTGTGAAAGATCATTTTTTTATGAATAATTTGACTTTACTTTATTTTTCTGAATAATTGCAAGAAACGATCATACCTAATAACCAATAATACGTATTCTGTATACTTATGCACTAAGTCCTGTTATTCTAGATATCTGTGACAAACAATTGAAGCTGTTGCTAGGACTACCTAAACAAATAGGCTAATGAATATGCTGTCACTTTTAAAATTTATTTGTTGTGTAGTTTATAATTAGATATGGCAAATTATACTATAAACGAGAAAATTGACATGTTGCTAATTAACGAAGAAACAAAAAAGAATGCAACTGATGCAGCTTGAATTTATGCTTAGAGGTTCCCTAATCGTCGCCATCCCACTCGGTATTATTTTCCAAAACTGGACAGAAAAATACGAAATGAACCAGAAGAAAATGCCAATAACTTCATCGTCGGTAAAGAAAAAGTAGACGTGTAGACGCCCTCTAGCACTTCATGGTTAGCAGCGATCGCACGCGTTTATATGTATATTTAGCATCAGCACTGCACCCGTGCGGAGCCGGGGCAGGTCGCTAATAATTTATATCTATTCATCAATTTCAATGTAGAAAGCCTGTATATCAATATTTCCCTCAAAGAAGCTCTTCAGATCATCCAGAGGAGGCCGTCTGAAAACGAGGATCTGGAAACTATAACATGATTACCAAATAGTGAAATCATGAAATTACTGAAATGCTTTGTCCGGAATTGATATTTCTAGCTGAGGGACAAATAATTCAAACAAGATAATGCACTGCCAATGAAATCGCCACTATAGCCAATATTTACAAAGAATAATTTGGAATTAAGGTCATTGATCGAGCACAAGAAGCTTAGAGTCTGGTTGAGATAAGTTAACAGAATATTCATAGTATGGAATCATTTCTGAAATATCTCAACATTAAGAACAAAGCAAACACTGCTCCTACACAGAACTGCATCACTCCTCTCGACACGCGTTTCACCAACCAAGTTGGTGTTTAGAGCTGAACTATACTGATCATAATATCAATCGTTGGTCAGAAGAGAAGAATCCCAATAAGGAAGAGAAATCGCTACAATCAGTGCTATCCCATTATATGTCAAAGAACTATCGAATAGCGTCAAGAATTGGATCTAAGTACAAAAGTAGAACCTTCGTCAGAGCAGAAAAATCAAGTTACCAATTGTGTTCACAAGTGCATTTACTTGATACCTTGTGATTTTTGATACATCAGTGGAACTACGAGACTGATTAAGTACGAATTGCCAAGTATAAGAAGAACATCCAGTAAGAAGAAACCACCAGGTCGGACCTAGAGGAGCATGTCTGAATCCACCAAAATAATAGCAAGTGATCCGAAACAAAGCTCATTTATAGAGAGAATTACTGTTTAAAAGTAAGTTTACAAAAGCTGCTAGGCCAACTTGGAAATCTATAACGGGTGGAAACCTATAATTAGGTAGCAAAACGGTTTACAGTGCACTGATTATGAAGATAGTGCTATTAAAAAAAAGAGAGTATAAAGCGCATCAAATCGATCCATAGGGTGTCTCAAATGATAATCAACCAATCAATCAGTATACTATGTCTCAGAAATTTTTCTTAGTGTCAATATAAAAATAACAAGTACAGACAAAATAACAGTAAAATAATGAACATTCAGTGGTTGAACTATTTCAGAACCTAACAAGTTTGAAAATAAAAATTCCGAATCAGAAACCGGTCTCAAAACCTGTCAGCGTATAATAAGCTTTTGAAAGTTCTTTTCATAGTTACAGAATACATTGTGGTTTACTATACTTTTAATTTCGGTAGGTTCAGGAATAATAACGTAGTGAGGTAACTTGATTTGAAATTTTATTCTTTTTTTTTTCAATACTTTTTTCTTTCTCATTTTTACATATAACTAACATTTCTCTTATTGTTTGTAACATTTTTTTCTAACCCATATTATTAATCCACTAGTCAGGTTTCCGGTCACAATAATTTATTTTCTTTACAAATAAGTGCTTCATTCTTTTTTTGTATATTCAATATACGTTGTTGATTTATTCCCATAGTTTTTTGATCATGTCCATTTTGACTAATTCCTAATATATTCATAATTATATTTCATTCATTTATCTTCACATGCTAAGATTCAACAAGTTATATAGTTAAACTGCAACAAGCTGAACACTTAATAACTACATACCTCCTCTTGATTGGCAATACAATCATTATTTTGCAAAATCTCAATTACAGAATCTGCAAGTTCACTAACATAATCGTCAGGATTCGAATCAGGATCCATTTGGTAATATGACGGATTAGCCAGTAATCTTCTGTAGAAAAAAGTGGACTGTATGAATTCTATCAGTTGTCCTTTAGAAGTAATGTTTCCATTTGCTACTTCTGCATTTACATGATCCGGAAGAAACTCCAACAGGTTTGATTCTACAGGAAATGGTTCAAAAAGGAACTTTCTGTAAAAGTTTTTTTTATTTTCTTGCACCATAACACAGGCAACACCAGTCGTATCAAATTGAGGTCGGCCAGCTCTTCCTACCATCTGAATAACATCTGTGATTGGCATGTCGACGTATCGCTTTGTAGCGCCATCAAAGTACTCAGTCCCTTTTACTATGACCAATCTGGCTGGAAAATTAACACCCCATGCCAGAGTGGCAGTTGCTATAAGCACTTGTATTTTTTGACCAACATAAAGTTGTTCTACAATATTTCTGTCACTTTCAGTCAAAGCTGCATGATGCATTCCAATACCAAAAGTTAAAAGTTGAGCCAAATCTTGATCAACCAACCTGGAATTGAAATGAAAATTATTTTTTGATGGACAAAAATCATTCATTTATTTTGAAAACAATCCTGACTAGTATTAATAACTCATTTCACTTCTTTTAAAAGTAAAATACAGATTTTTTTATCGAGATATCAAAATAGTCATCTAACTCAAAGATGTTTTACTAAAGAATTAATCTCGATTTAGGATTTCAAAAGAAGGTGGAGCTTCAATCTGATCTTTTTTCTATATACCCACTAAATTTCAATCTGCTTATTGAAAACATTCATTGATGAGACTAAGTGATGTCATAAAAAGATGCTAGTATGTCATCTACCTTGATGACCAGATGAGTTAATAACCATTGCCTTTTTGATGTTATATGACTACCATTGACTGGTGTGAGATCTTGAAGTGTCTAGTAAACTATGTTAATTGCTAATTAAAGTATAAAGTTTAGAGCCGAGCGTATTAAAGTATGGAGTAGAAATGTTGAATTTTGAAGACTCTGGTTGCTTTTGAATATTTGTTATTTGTGTTTGATTTGAGCTTTATCCTTGTAATGTTAGAATTAATATTATAAACGAACACAGAGTTTCATTTGTTTGCAGTTTCTTGTAAAATAATTTAATTATTTCATTGTTATTGCCTGCAAATCTTCATTATAACCTAAATCTAACAGTACCATCAGTCTAAGGGCTATTATAACCTGAGGAGTTCCAGTCTTAACACAAATTTTAATGTCAACTTTAAATATTTTTACTTAAACTAAGGGAAGGAAAGGAACCTTTTATGAGGTATGAATGAACAAAATTACTTCAGAAATCAATTTAGATTTTGTTGCCTGGAAAACTAAACCGTAAACAAACATCTGTTGAAATAAAGTTATAATTTAAATTAAGAACACTAAATCAAATCGAAACATATGCCTAAACCATAAATACCAATAGAAATACAAAATAAAAAGTCACATTTCGGTGTGCCGTCCACCACGTTCAATGCAATAAATTGCCCTTTTTAAAACATCTTTAACTGCATTCTTTATACTACGGGGTTTCGTGCTTAGAACACATTCTCGAATAACTGCCTCTAAATGGTTTATATCTCGAAAAGGTCTTTGCTTATACATATTTTTTCA